TGACTAAACACCAAGGCGCACGGAATGCTGTTACCTTCCCACCGAAGTGGTACCTATTTATCTACTTGCAATTTCTTGCTTTCGAACTGCTAGGTTGGCAGGAGCTGGAACTAGAGACGGGAGCTCACTCCATCATGCGGCACACCCGGGTCTCGAACTGCAACTACTGACCTTCCACAGCCTGCAGTTCAGCGTCTTAACCACTTGAGCCACCGCAGCTCCTGTGGTGACTTACATCGCTATATAAATCATAGAACAAAGTTGTATCTGAAGAAGTGTGCATACACACAAAAGCTTATTCCCAGAGTTGAACTTTGTTGGTCTTAAAGGTGTCGTTGGACTCAAACTTTGTTCTTCTGCTTCAGACCAACACGGCTACCCACCTGAATCTATATAAAATCATAGTCATTGTGTGTAAATTTGTATCTATGAATGGAAACTGGTGTATGGAAATGTTGCCCTCTTCTTAGATCATCCACAAATGGTCACTCTCTTCCCTGTCATAATCCTACTCCCTATTTGTCTGGCTTGAGGGAAGATGCATTTCTGTAAGGTACCCAAGGAAACCGGGTTTGATTCCTCACTCCTCCACATGAAGCCAGCTGGGTGACCTTGGGTCAGTCACAGCTCTTTTAGAGCTCTCTCAGCCCAAAAAATAAGTCTAGCTTGCCACCTAGCATGACACTAATTAGCTAGAACATAAGGCTGCCAGACAGTCTTCGGATCTCCTGGCTGTACTCCACACAATGCCATACGATAATTATTATTTATCTGTACTCAGCCTCAGCCTGGGCTTCAGGCAACAGGAGAAATGCTGCAGTCCAAGCTTGCTTAGATGCAAGACTTCCACCTTCAAAGCTCTCCTGTTTCTTATCTAGAATGAGTGGGAAGCAGTATGTGGTTTCTCAGAAGCAAGGCAAAAACATTTGCCACGTGCTCAGAGGCACTATCATGATTTCTCAGGTGCTGAAAAACAAGATAAACACACATGGAGTTATCTTTCAAGGAAGGGTGTAGTGACAGCAATGAATTTTGCATTGTTGTAGAGAAGAGGAGGAGGAGGAGGAGATTGGATTTATACCCTGCCCTTCACTACCTGAAGGAGTCTCAGAGCAGCTTACAATCCCTTTCCCTTCCCCTCCCCACAACAGACACCCTGCGAGGTAGGTGGGACTGAGAGAGCTCTCTCTCGAGAACTGCCCTTGAGAGAACAGCTCTGAGAGAACTTACAACTGACCCAAGGTCACACCAGCAGCTGCATGTGGAGAACTGGAGAATCAAACCTGGTTCTCCCAGATTAGAGTCCACGCTCCTAATCACTATACCAAACTGGCTCTGTTTAGGGGTTACTAACCGCCTGGAAGGAAAAAAAGTCCTTTCCCTTTAATAGAGTCTTAATGGGATACTATTTACTTGTGGAAAATGCCATCAAGTTACAGCCAATTTAGGGCAAAGCCATTGCCTGCCTCTGGGTAGTGACCCTGGACTTCCTTGGTGGTCTCCCATTCAGGCACTAACCAGGGCCGACCGTGCTTAGCTTCTGAGATCTGACGAGATCAGGTGAGCCTGGGCCATCCAGGTCAAGGCAGGATGCTAATTATCTCTTGATGTTGTTCACTTCCACACCACAGAAAGTGTCAGTTACTCATTTTGACGCATGGTAAAAGGTAAAGGTTCCCTTGCTCGAAAGCCAGTCGAATCCGACTCTAGGGTTGCGGTGCTCATCTCAGTTTCCAAGCCGAAGAGCCAGCACTGTCCGAAGATGTTTCCATGGTCATGTGGCCGGCATGACTAAACACCAAGGCACACGGAACGCTGTTCCCTTCCCACCGAAGTGGTACCTATTTATCTACTTGCAATGTCTTGCTTTCAAACTGCTAGGTTGGCAGGAGCTGGAACTAGAGATGGGAGCTCACTCCATCGTGCAGCACCCGGGTCTTGAACTGCTGAACTACTGACCTTCCACAGCCTGCAGTTCAGCATCTTAACCACTTGAGCCACCGCACCATGAAACTTCTACTAAAGAGACAGGGCCAGGACATTCCCCCCCCCCAGGTGTGTTGGCATCCCTAGCTGCAGTAATAAGTTTGATTAAGACCACCCAGAATATCACAATACTTGGTGTGAGCTTTCCACTTCTCCAGAGCTGTTCATGTTAAAAGGCAATCCAAGATTACCTGGATGGGCTGCAATGCAATGAGGGAAAGATAAGATTGGACCCAGAAGTATAGGAAAAGATAATCCTTTCCAAAGGAAAGCCTCTTATTCTTAAAACACTTATCAACCTTTCCTGCTATCTCTTGACCAATCTCATTTTGCTTATGGATTGGCTGCTCAGGGAGAGTCACCCTCTCAATTTTCCCCTCTAGGCGTTGCTTTCACCATTAGCTTTGTTGAACTAACCTCATCAGGGGGAACTTAGCTCCGCAACCCCTGTTATGCAAATACCAGGGCAGGTTTCTCTTTGGGGGTAGATTTGCAAGTCTACAGGAGAGAAACTACCCCTTTGTGGGAGATGAGTTTCTCAAGGGTGTAACGCTTTAGAATAGATCCAGAAGTGTGAGCCCTGTTGCTGCAAAACAGTAAAAAGCTCAGTAGCACCTTTAAGACTAACAAAACTTTATTGTAGCATAAGCTTGTAAGAAACACAGCTGTCCTCTGACCAAGAGAGCTGTGTTTCTTGACAGCTTATGCCACAATAAAGTTTGTTAGTCTCAAAGGTGCTACTGGGTTTTTTTCTGTTCTGTTTAGGAAGGCACTGTTACAGTCCAGCATTTATTTATGAATTCATTTCAGCATCTGTTTATGGATCAGCTTGATTCGAGTCCAATAAGATTTGGGGGTATAAGATTCTCAGGAGTCACAGCTCCCTTCGTCTGGCGCTCTGACTCTCAAGAATCTTGTTGGTCCTGAAGGTGCTACTGGACTCAGAATTAGCTGTTCTACTTTTTGTTGTTGTTCAGTCGCACAGTCGAGTCCGACTCCTCGCGACCCCATGGACCAGATCACGCCAGGCCTTCCGGTCTTCCGCCGTCCTCTGAAGTTTGCTCAACTTCATGTTCGTTGCATCTATGACACTGTCTAACCATCTCATTCTTTGCCGTCCCCGTCTTCTTTGACCTTCAATCTTTCAAGGTCTTCTTTGGCCTTCAACCCCCCTCATGGATCACTGCCTTGTCGTGGCGAAGGGGCTTGCGTGGTTCGATGAGGCTGTGGGCTACGCCGTGGAGGGCCACCCAAGATGGACAGGCCACAGCAGAGAACTCAGACCAAGCGTGATCCCCTGGAGAAGGAAATGGCAACCCATTCCAGTATTTTTGCCAAGAAAACCCCATGGACAGTATCAAAAGCTGTTCTACTACAGACCAACAGAGCTAACCCTCTGAAACTATTTATGGACGGAGAGCTGGCCTGAGCATATTTCATTTCATTTATAGACTCCATCAGTATGTTGACATGTAGGGACTATAAAACACTCCGACTCCTCCCCCAGATTTCACTGCCCCCTCCCAAGATTTCCCCATAGCAAACTGGTTGCCCCCTGTGCAGATAATGTGTGACAAGGCAGCAGTTTTGCCTATGCAGGGGAGATGCAGAGAAATATATGATTTTGTGAATTAACCAGAAAAGGGGAAAGAATAAAAGTAAAATGTGAAGGACTGAAAACGCGGCTGAAAGCCAGATAAAGGGGAGGTGGGGTTGGCAGGAATCAGCCTGCTTTAAGAGTCTCAAAGCTTATAAAATACAATGCATCCAGCCTGGATTGAATTGAGACCCAGGTTTCCTGTCTCACCAGTGCTGATTTCTCCATGCCTACTGCCTCTCTGCATATCACACCTGACCCAATCACACCTGCAACTATCATTTGCCTGTTAATGTCATTCAGCATCTGAAATCACTCCATTTTCCAATGTATAAGACAGATGGACTCACATTCTAGCTGTATCTGAAGAAGTGAGCAGCGACTCACCTTTAAGGTGCCACTGGACTCTTGTCTACCGCTAGACAGACAGACTAATACAGCTATCCTTTTTTTTAATAATAATTTTTATTTTCTTAACATAATATATAAACAGGAATTAAACCAGAACTAAAACAATTTAACAATAACATTAATACAATTAACAATGTTGTTTTATAGGTATATACTGTACAAGCGTTTTTCTAATATAATCTTTTTTTTTACGAAATCAAATCTATAATAATACAATTTATTACATTGACCACTCGTTCTGAATAAAAGAATAATACTGAGATTTCTGACTAGGTTTAATCTGTTCGAGAATATTTTCTAAATTTTCCAGTATTGGGTGCCATCGACCATAAAAAGCCTGCGATCTTGTTTCATCTTCAGCACTGGTAAGTCTGTCAGAGATCTTATCCATAAGGATAGGTTGCCACACCTTTGAATACCATGACTTAATATTTAGTAAACTGTTATTTTTCCAACTTTGTGCAATAGTTACGGCTATCCTTCTTGATCTATCTTATACAATCCTGAAAGGGAAAATTGTGTGTGTGTGTGTGTGTCTTTGTGAATAGATAACCAGATCAGCAAGGTGAAGTGTTATTTATTTCGCATATTTTTATTCTGCCCTTCTTCCAAATAGATCAGGGCAAAGGTACATCATTTTCCTTTCCTCAGTTTTACCTTCACAACAATAAGCCTTTGAGGTCGGCTAGACTGGGAAAGAGTGACCGGCCCAAGGACACCCATTGAGCTTCTGCAGCAGAGTGGGGATTTGAGCCTAGGTGAAGTGGGGTCTGACTCACAAAAGCTTATGATGGGGTAAATTTCATCAGTCTTCAGGGTGCCACCGGATCCCAGGTTTAGCTTTGCCTGGAACGATAACCACTGCTTAGCACCGTCTCATTCTGCCAGTTGAATGGGGGCTTCTCTTGATTTATCTGTTACATTCTTTAAAGATCCATTTTCCAGTTTGTTTTCATACGCATGGATTGTACCTTTTTTGTTTTTCCAGGGCATAATAAAAGCAGAGATGGAGACGACTAACGAGACCAGGGTGACCGAGTTTGAATTAGTTGGATTCCAGGATCTACAGCATTTTCACACGCTCCTCTTTGCCTCCTTACTTCTCACTTATTCACTCATTCTCCTGGGCAACACGGTCATCCTGTCCCTCATTCAGACCAGTCCCCGCTTCCATGTCCCCATGTACCACTTTATTGCCGTGCTGGCTACCCTCGAGATGTGCTATACCACCGTCACCATCCCTAAGATGTTGGTGGATCTGCTGCAGAGGAAGAACCACATCTCTTTTGGGGGTTGCCTGGTGCAAATCTATTTCTTCCATGCCCTGGGCATCACAGAAGCCTGCTTGCTCACCGTGATGGCGTATGACCGCTACTTAGCCATCTGCACCCCATTGACCTATCCGTCCACCATGACAACCAAGCTCTGCTTGCGGCTAGTGGCCGGGTGCTGCATTTGTGGCTTTGCATGCCCTTTGCCTGAAATCATCCTGATTTCCAAACTCCCGTTCTGTGGGCCGAGTCGCATCAAGCATATCTTCTGCGATTTCCCTCCATTGTTTCATCTCCCTTGCGCTGACGTGTCCCGTATCGTCATGACAGACTTCATCATCCATTCCTCGGTCATCCTTGGTCCCGTCTTCCTGATCGTCCTCTCTTACGTCAAGATATTGACCGTCGTAGCCAAAATCCAGAGCCCTGAAGGCCGCCAGAAGGCCTTTTCTACCTGTGCTTCACATCTCATTGTGGTTTTTGCCTTTTTCGGGACAACGGGGTTTATGTATGTCCGACTGACTCAATCCAGCTCCCTACAGTATGAGAGAGTCATTGCAGTGATCTATGCTGTCCTCACTCCTCTCTTCAACCCAGTTGTCTATAGCTTGAGAAACAAAGAGATTCAGGAAGAGATCAGAAAAATCACTAAGTGTCCCGGTCTGTCATTCAGGACAGTCATGCGGCTCAGATAGAATAAAATGCATGAGAAGATCCACATGGTCCATCATGTGCTATTTAGGGCATTTTCAGTTCATTGGGATGGGTGAGAGAGAATCCTGTATTTTTTTTAAAAAAAAGATCAAATAGCAGTTATGTGAATGGACCTAGAGTCAGTCTTTGTGATGTCATAGCCTCAACTGACTAGGCTTGCCAGCTCTGGGTTGGAAAATACCTGAGGACTTTGGGGATGGATCCAGGAGAGGGTGGGGTTTGGGGAGGGGAGGGGAGGGCCCACAGCATGCTACAATGCCATAGAGTCCGCCCTTCAAAGCAGCCATTTTCTCCAGGGGAGCTGACCTCTGTCAGCTGGAGATCAGTTGTAAAAGCAGGAGATCTCCAGGACCCAGCTGGAGGCTGGCAACCCTACAATTGATTCACAAACAATAGTTCAAAGAACTTTAAAGACAAAATAGGTAATGTGCTACCTTTGGGAAAGGGCAGGCCAAGAGAGACAAACACTTTTGAGTTATGCAGAATGCTCCAGACGTGCTTCAAAGGTAACAGGTTGGTACAGTGAAAGACACTGGGTTGAATCCGCGGGCTGGATCTGCTGGCAAAATAGTGAAGAGGGTCCCCACTGAACTGGCTGCACCTGGGGACTGTGGAACCTGCTGTATTGGGGCCCATTGTGTTTAAAATAATCCCTTCCCCCACCCTGTATTTCCATTTAGTAAAAACAGTCTTGCTTTTTCTCTGAGGTGAACTCCCATCGGTGAATTACAGTCTTTGCAATAACCATGTCCCCCGTGGAAGGCTGTTGGGAAAGGCTTTATTTCCCCCTCTTTGATGAAAAAGCTCGATTCAAATGGTTTTTTCTTTTTCTTTTGAGGAAGATGTCCTATCTCAGTCCCAGTTGCCAAGTGCCGTTATACATAAAAGGGTGAGAGTCTGAGATAGGACAGCTCACCCAGGGCCGGCCCCAGCTTATTTTGCACCCTACGCGAGGATCCCTTCTGGCACCCCATACGCCCACCATGGCTTGGACCCATTAATTGGATCTGTACCCCAGACCTCCCGTTCCCCTGGCACCCATGCTCTTAACACTCACTTTTGCTTTTGTAACTTTGCCTGCTTTGCACATCTGGCTTCCACCAAGGAAGACTCTGCAAAAAAAGGCACTCGTCACAAACAATCTCTGCTTCTCACTTGCCTTGACAGTTCCTTCCTGGGGTTGCCATAAGTCAGTTGCAACTTGAGTGTCCTTGTGTAATAGCCCCCCTACTTAGATTCTTCTTTGACTCAGCTGAGTGACCCTTCTGTGCCCAGAGGGCTAAGTTCTTTGGTGGAATTGGTGTTTGTATCATCAGAAAGATCATAACATGTTTAAAACTCAGTAGTGTTTGCAGCTGAACCAGGACAGCAGGAGGAGGGGGGTGCGTCAGTTTGGTGCCCCTAAGGGCCGGCGCTCTCTAGGCGAGTGCCTAGTTCGCCTAGTGAGTGAGCCAGCCCTGAGCTCACCGTGAGGCCTAATACAGTTTTTGGAGTATGCCCGCTAACTTCTTTACTCTGTGTTCGGATTCCCTTAAATGAGAAGCTTCGAGAGGGTGGAAGGCTGCTGGCTTCTACCTTTTGCTTCCGTGGTTGAAAGCAGTGTTCCCTCTAAGTTGAGTTAGTGTGAGCTAGCTCTCAGGTTTTTAGCCTCCAGCTCACACATTTTTGTCTTAGCGCAGGAAGGATGGCTCCAGAGCAGACTAATTTATGCAATAGCCAAATAGCTCGCTCATAACTGTAATGCCAGTAGCTCACATAGTAGAAGTTTTGCTCACAAGACTCCACAGCTTAGAGGCAGCATTGGTTGAAAGGTATTATTGGCAGCCAGGAAAGTCAGAGAACCTCTCTATGTACCCCATCAGCAGAAAATGTTGAGAGGTGCTGGCGCTTACCCCTGCTCTGAAGCCACATCTCCTGAAAGTGAAACCTCCTCGTTAATCCCAGGTACGTGGGGATGAGTTGTAGTAGCTTGATCATGTTGGGAAAGGCACTCTGTACGTGTTCAGATGACCTCCATTTTATTTCACACGTTCTCGGTCAGAATACTGGCATTCTTGGTGGCCGAGCTCTGATAAACGCCTAACGTCAGCGAAGGGTTGCACCTAATTCATTGTCATCCTTTGCAGATCTGGAACCCACGTTGTCTATCCAGCCATGCAATATGGAACCCATTTCTAAATTTTGTGTCATATAGATTCTGATGGTGCCATAATTAGCACCAGTGGCAGTATAGGTCCTGATGTGACTTTGCAGTGAACCCTGACCCAGTTGCTGCAGGCCTGTGAATTAGATTGAGCTTTGTTGTTGTTGTTCAGTCGCACAGTCGAGTCCGACTCTTCGCGACCCCATGGACTAGATCACGCCAGGCCCTCCTGTCTTCCGCCGTCCTCTGAAGTTTGCTCAATATCATGTTCGTTGCATCTATGACACTGTCTAACCATCTCATCCTTTGCCGTCCCCGTCTTCTTTTACCTTCAATCTTTCCCAGCATCAGGGTCTTCTCCAGTGAGTGCTCCCTTCTCATTTGGTGGCCAAATTGAGCTACCACAGTGGTAAAAAAAATAGGATAATGCATGGGGTTGCCAACTCCAGGTTGGGAAATACCTGGAGAGTTTGGGGGTAGAGCTTGGGGACGGGAGAGACCTCAACAGGCTGTAATGCCATAGGGTCCACTCACCAAAGCAGCCATTTTCTCCATTTTCTCCTTGGTCATCTGGAATTCAATTGTAATAGTGGGAGATCTCCAGCCACCTGGAAGTTGGCAACCCTCCTATGAAAAGGAGAGGAAAATCTATGAATGCTCTCTTTCCTGGGTCTTTGGGGGGTCGTCATGCACAACTGGGTCACTCCAGTCCAAGATGGATTGCAAATCTAAGGTTGCCAGCTGGCCAGGAAAAAAAGAATGTTGTGTCCCTTCAACAGAAGATTAATGAGTGGAACTGAGCAGCTGAAACTTTTCAGGGCATGGAGCTTCATCAGATCACCTCATCATCGTGCGTGTGTGTGTGTGTGTGTGTGTGTGTGTGTGTGTGTGTGTATGCAAAGTGATATCAAATTGCAGTCACTTATGGTGACTCCCATCGGGTCTTCAAGGCAAGAGACTAACAAAGGTGGTTTGTCATTGCTTTCCTCAGCATAGCAACCGTGGAATGCCTTCATGGTCTCCCATCGAAGTACAAACCAGGGCCAACCCTGCGTAGCTTCCAAGAACTGGCGAGATTGGGCTATCCTGGCTACCTAACTTTTGCTGTAGATCATTCGGATATTAATGGCGCAGGTAGAGGAACCAGTTTAAAAGCGGGGAGCCCTCAGGGACCTCTGTTATTGTTGCTTTGGCAAAGAAGAAAAGATGGAGTGTGAGGAGAGAGGAATATGTGAAGGAAAAAACATCTGAATGGATGAGGTAGAAGGGAGAACAGACATCACAAAACTAGAAATGAGGCCTGTGTTTGGGGTTACAGCTCTGATGGCTCAGGAGTAAATACCTCACATGTAGAGTGATCACGCACATATAAGTAAAGCTGCCAACTGGCCAGGAAAAAGTGTCCTGTCCACTGACAGTGTCCACAGGCAGTTTTCCTAGCCTGAAGGCAAGTTTAACATTGGCAGCCCTATCTGTCAGAGTTGAGTTGCTTAACTCTCTAGTAACTGACTTTTGTTAGGCTTTAAGGTGCTACTGGACTCTTGCTCTGTATTACTGCTACAGACAGACTAACATGGCTACCCATCTTGAAATTTCAACTGAATTGTTTCTGCAGGAACTATTTGCATTCAGGATGGGTTCCTTGGATTTTGCCACTCATGGGGGGGGGGGTCATCCTTCCTTTGTCCCCGTCTTGCATCTGATTAATCAAGTTTCTGCTTAAGCAAGCACACCTCCCAAGGAATGTGCTGGTTTTTTGGGGAGTAGGGGGATATAAACAATTCACTCTGCCCTCTAGGTTTCCCCCTTAGGGTTGCAAACTTTGAAAGGGGTCACTTTAATATCAAAAGTTTTTGCTGCCCATTTCCACATATTAAAGCCCCTATTGAAGAAGAAGAAGAGATTGGATTCCTGCCCCGCCCTTCACAACCCGAAGGAGTCTCAGAGTGGCTTACTATCTCCTTTCCCTTCCCCTCCCCACAACAGACACCCTGTGAGGTAGGTGGGGCTGAGAGAGCTCTTTTGAGAACTGCTCTTTCCAGAACAGCTCTGAGAGAACTTTTGACTGACCCAAGGTCACACCAGCAGCTGCATGTGGAGGAGTGGGGAATCAAACCCGGTTCTCCCAGATTAGAGTCTGCACTCCTAACTACTACACTAAACTGTTGACAGCATGAATTATCATCTCCAGTAGCACACAGAGATCCATACAAACCACCAGTGAGAGACAGTGTAGTGCAGTGGTTAAAGGCAGCAGACTCTAACCTGGAGAACCCGGTTTGATTCCCTACTCCTCCACATGCAGCTGCTGGGTGACCTTGAGTCAGCCACAGTTCCCTCAGATCTGCTCTCAGCCCCACCTACCTCACAGGGTGTCAGTTGTGAGGAGGGGAAGGGAAGGAGATTATAAGCCGCTATGAGACTCCGAATGAAAGTGGGGTATAAATCCAATCTCTTCTACATCTTCTGGTGGACCTCCTGGTGGCACCTGAGTTTTGGCCACTGTGTGACACAGAGTGCTGGACTGGATGTGCTGGACTGGATGGGCCTTTGGCCTGATCCACCATGGCTTCTCTTACTGTTCATATGTTCTTATTGTGTGGGAGGAGTTGTGGAGCTGTGCCCAAGGGTCCTTGGCTCCTGGGTGGCTCCCTTACTAGCAGTTCCATCAGCAGCAGTTAGCAGGTCCTTGATAAATATTGCAGTGTAGTAGTTCATGTATTAGAATATGAGTGGGGAAACCCAGCTTCAGATCCTTATTTAGCCCAGAAGCTCACTAGCTGACCTCGAGCCGATAATTCAGGCTAACCTACCTTACAGGGTTGTTGTGGGGATAACATGAAAGGGGGGGGAGAATCGGTTGGTCCTGAATTCTGTGGAGCAATGGGAACATAAAAATATGGCAAGGGGAGGATTAATGCAGATTTCTATATATCAAAGATCTGTTAAGAGCACAGGAGCAGGCTGTTCCTGGAGTGTTGGCAACCCCCTAAATCCCACCGAAGTGGATGTGATGGGAGAGTTTGTGGGACTAGAGCCATGTCACAGAGTGTGTGAATGAGAAAGCAGATGGAAGGGGGGAGATGTATGCGTTTGATGCCCTCTAGATCTCTTTACCACAGGTCTTCACACTTACCCGCACATGTCTTCATGAGAGGATCTTTATGTGAAAACACCACTCAAAACAGCAGGTTCACACTTGATGGGGGGGAGAAACCTAGCTAGGGTTGCCAGCTTTTAATCTGGTCCTTGTAGCTGTCCCTTTAACATCAGTGTGCTCTGTGAGCAATCGTCAGATAATGTGATGGCGCTCCAGGCCCCGGAAAGCTCCAACTGCCCACTTCCTTGGGATGCCAACCTCCAGGAAGGTACAAGAACAAAATTACACCCTCGCGAGTACTAATCACTCACGGTCAGATTACACTCAGATGCTGCTTAAAGGCTTGTGTCTCAAATACAATGAATGAGGAAATCAGACATTGAAATGTGAATCCTTTAGTATGATCCGCAGTAATTGTCCTGGAATTACTGATCTCCAGACTACAGAGATCAGTTCCCCTGGAGGAAATGGCAGCTTTGGAAGCTGGACTCGATGACATCACATCATCGCTGAGTTTCCACACTCCCCAAACACTGCTGGCCCCAGGCACTCCCCCCCCCCCAAATCTCCAGGAATTTCCCAAGCCAGAATTGGCAGCCTTACTTGTCTGTGCACGTTACCGATAAAGAGAAAGGAGGGCACAGAAAAGGGTTACAAAATTGTTGGGTGTTACAAGTCAAAACACTTCAGTATTTACAGGGTTGATTATGTTTGTTAAGTCACATGTTTGTTTGTAACCAATCTGTTTAGACAACAGAATGCCCGGGAACTTTGGAGCTGATTTGCTAGTCCGATTGGAAACCAAGGTGTCAAGTATTTAGCATATTGGCTTCTCCTCCCGGTCTTTGTTCTGACTGAGAAGGAGACGCCATTCGGCTCTTCCCGTTTTACCTTTTAGCTGCAAGGATGTAGGCATATTAGCTCTTTGTTATTTTATATCCTGTGTACCTTTTTCCCATGTTAGGTTTATAGTAAACTTTTATATTTTAATACACACCATGGACTCAGTCTCTTAATACTCTGCTGACTTACTAAAAAGGAATCCCAACAAAAATGCTGCCCCAAAGTAGTGTGCTTCTTGCTCTAGGAGCTTTATCGGCAAGAACTTATTTCAGTAGATAATGCAAAGGAACTGTGAAAAGGATGGAGCCTGTGAATGGCAGTAATTCACAAGATATTTTTTTTAAAACCATGTTGAAAGCAAGAGAGACTCAGCTTTATGTTATCCAATCAGCTGAAGTCTGCAAAATTCAATCACTAGGAGTTCAGAAACCTATGAATGGAGAATGCAAAATTCAGTCACTAGGAGTTCAGGAACCTATGAATGGAGAATGCAAAATTCAGTCACTAGGAGTTCAGGAACCTATGAATGGGAAAACCCCAGACTCACCCTATGTATGCAAAGTGGTCAGAGTTTAAAACTGATTGATTTAGTGGGCACCAGCAGCTGCATCTCCTGGCCTCTAATCTATTTACAACTGTATTTTCCCAAAAGATGACCTTGAAGGTAAGATCCTGAATGCAAGACAATGACCCTAATAAAGGCTATACACAAAAGAGTTGGGTTTATCTACTTACCATGCCTAGCCTTCACTGTTCCCTGAGGCCATTTGCTTTAGATGGGGGGGGGGGTTGTCAGCAGAGAAGGAGAGACATCAATCTGATTTAATGTGGCTATTAAACAGGATTAGGCCTTGACTCCAGGACTATGACCAATACTCCCTCTAAACTGTAGAGTCTTGTGAGCAAAAATTCTACTTTGTGAGCTACTGGCATTAAGGTTGTGAGCGAGCAATTTGGTTACTGCATAAATTAGTTTGCACTGGAGCCATCCTTCTTGAGCTAGGACAAAAATGTGTGAGCCAGAGGCTAAAAAACTGTGAGCTAGCTCACACTAATACAGCTTAGAGGGAACACTGACTATGACTACTCTAGTCTAGAAAACATGAAGGGAAAATGGGATTCACTTGGCTCTATAAGGTGGGAAGTCTCATTACATCAGCAGATGTGTGTTACCCAACTCTGATCGCTGGGAACAGGAATGCAGAGAAGGGTGGTAGAATCTTCTACTGGGCAGAACCATGGGGTCTCTCCTGCAATCGCAAAAGACCAGCTTGGGGGGAGAATTGGCAAGAAGAAGATTGACAACCCTGATATTTTTGAACTGTGTGACCAAATCTAGCAACTGCAGGCTGGGGGTGGGGTGGGGTTATGTATTAATATATATTTTTATGCATTCATAAAAGCAAGATTGCACAGTTCACTCGAAACCTTGTTTGTTTGTTTTTAAAATGAAATCTGAGAATTCAAGTACCTGCTTTCCTTAATTGTGTGCTCTGGACACAAAGAATAGGAAGAAATTTCTGGAGCTCTGATATATATATTTTAAGACTTCCCTGTTGTACATTCTCCCCCTCACACACACACACACACAGACACACAACCTATGCTGTTTCTGCTTCGGGTCTGAGGAGATAAGGCGGGGTAGAAATATTCTGAATGAATTAATATGTGCTAAGGATTCTCAGATTATTTTGGAACTGTTGTGTTTGTTTGCATTATTTATTTAGACATTTTTGCCCCAGTTTCCCCCCGATGGAGAACCAAAGCGGCTTACAACATCATTCTCCTATCTCCCACCGCTCCTACAGGAGGTGGGGGTGGGTGGGCTGGCAACCCTTTATCCTCCATTTTGTCGACATGATGATGGCAACAAGATCCCCGTGAGGTTGGTTAGGTTGAGAGAGAGACAGTAGATGGCTCAAAGTCACCCAATGAGTTAGGGTTACCAACTCCTGGTTAGGAAATATCTGGAGCTTTGGGGGTGGGGCCTAGGGAGAGTAGGGTTTGGGGAGGGGACGGACCTCAGCGGGGTATAATGCCATAGAGTTCACCCTCCAAAGCAGCCTCTCTTTATTTGCAGGGGAACTGATCTCTGTCGTCTGGAGATCAGTTGTAATTCAGGGAGCTCTCCAGGCCCCACCTGGAGGCTGGCAAGCCTAGTTAGGCAGATTGGGGATTTGAACCTGGGTCTCTCAGATCCTAGTGTGTCATACTAACCATTGTACCATCTCAGGGACACGGTCAAAGTCTCATAGGCAATTGAAACCCGTGTCTGCTCATTTGCCAGAGTCCCGTCTTGTTTCATCTGGAGAAGTAGAACCCACCAATTCCACGTCAGTCACTGAATTTGAGCTGGTCGGTTTCCCGGTGTAACAGGCCGGATTAACCCCCCGGCCAGAGTAACCCCGGGGTTATTCTGGCCTAGCCTAGAATAACCCCGGAGGGGTTATTGAGGGGTTATTCTGGCCTAGCCTAGAGTAACCCCGGGTTAATCTGGCCGGCTGTAACAGGCCAGATTCACCCCCCCCCGGCCAGAGTAACCCCGGGCCTAGCCCAGAGTAACCCCTGCCAGGCCGGGCCAGAGTAACCCCGGGGGTTAGTCCAGACGGGGGGTTACTCTGGGCTAGCCTATACTAACCCCCACCTGGCCAGAGTGGTAAGTTAAATGTCAGCTGAATCCAATCTCTTCTTCTTTTTAACTTATTTTTTTTTTAACTTCTTTTTAACTGCACAACACAACAACCTGTAACCCCGGGCTTAGTTGAGTGGTAACTTAGATGTCAGTGTAACCAGCACAGTGTCAGCTTCTGAGGGTTTCAGGTCCATGAGAAACTTGTCAGGCAATCTGAGATTCCTCTTGGTAGTGAAGAACAGGGTATGAATCCAATCTCATTAGTCAACAGACCCAAATATCAACAGTACTACGACTGACATTTCTTTGGAGAGCCAAATTTTTTAAACTTAAACTATATAGGTAGGTACTTTGTTATTAACTTAATAATGGGACTCCTAGCAGTTCGAAAGCAAGAAATTACAAGTAGATAAATAGGGACCACTTTGGTGGGAAGGTAACAGCGTTCCGTGCGCCTTGGTGTTTAGTCATGCCGGCCACATGACCACGGAAACGTCTTCCGACAGCGCTCTTTGGCTTTGAAACGGAGATGAGCACCGCAACCCTAGAGTCGGATTCGACTGGCTTTCGAGCAAGGGAAACTTTTACCTTTAAGGCGGCCTTTGCTGAAAACGTCCTCGATCTGATTGAGGTACGTTCACTGAAGTCGACCCCTTCCAACTCTCCCTTCCCTCTTTTTTTTTAAAAAAGGTTGCCCACAGCTTTAGATTAGAAAGAAAGAAAGAAAGACGGGAAGAGCATAGAGGGAGGGAGGGCAGTGAGACAGAAAGAGGGAAGAAAAAAGCAAAGCGGGAAAGCTGATTGACTTCAGTCTTAGAACTCTGCACACATAGAATTTTATTACTTCAACCAGGAAAAAAACCAACAGTAAAAACATTAGACTTGATGTTCACTTAACTTAGCTGTCCATAATGTAATATAAGTCATAACATCCTGAAACTTCTACTTTGATGGCTACCAAGTACCCACAGAGATATAATTATTCAAAGCTAAACACTAATGACAACATCAAAATGATCATGCTTGTTTCCAAGATAAAGTGCATGCTCTGTTGTTGACTGCAGATTGAAGCTTGCGGGATAGGTCAACCATTCCATGGAGTGACCAGCTTTTGTGTGGATGAGGATGTCGCAACTCAGCAGATTCGCTGTGGCCATGATCTCTGCATCAGTTGCCCAGACTCCATCATGAGAGATGCCAGAAGTGCTCACATATTCACTCACATTCCGGTTCAAGTAGTCCTGTAGTTTCTCTGTCAAGTCAGTGTTCATGTGGTGGATGACTTTATTTCTAAGAAGGGAGTGGTTGTCCTCTGATCCTGTCAGGATGTAGCTGATGGCCCGGAAGTAGCAGTTCCCATCACCTTTGGTTTTATACATACGCCGTGGATGCCCAAGCTCCCTTGTGCGTCCACAGTACACAACCTTTACAAATGAAAGGCCAAGAGTGGTGCTAAGATACTTTCTTACAGAACTTGGTAGTGGGTTGAAAGTCTTCATCTGCTGGCATCTCTGTGAGATGTTGATGTCATCATTGTCTGGTCCCTCACATGGTCTTTTGAGTGTCTTCTGCTTCAGGCTGTCATTTGCAGAGTCACTAGGATAATCATCATGGGACTTGGCTGCCTTCCTTGGCCTGAGTCCTGTGAGTCTCTGGGTCAGGTTATAAGTGGGGTGCCCTCGGTATTGGGGCTTCCCAAGAGTAAAAGGCAGCGCCTCTGGCAACAGAAGGTGGTTCTCTCTGGTTATTGGGGAAGTATCTCTCTCAGTAGGAAAAGACAGCAGCCCCAGAAAGCAGGCCTGGGGGGTTAATCTGGCCTGGGGGGTTATTCTAGCCTAGGCCAGAGTAACCCCGGGGTTTCTCTGGCCGGGGAGTGAATGGGAGGGTTACTCTGGCCGGGGGGTTAATCTGGCCTGTTACACCGGACCTGCAGAATTTTCACAGGCCCATCTTTGTCATCTTGCTGGTGATTTACCTGCTTATCCTCAGCGGAAACAGCATCATCTTCACCCTCATCTATGCCCACCCCCACCTTCATATCCCCATGTACTATTTTGTCGCCATATTGGCTGTCCTGGAGGTCTTCTACACCACTGTCACCATGCCCAAGATGCTGGCCGACCTTCAGAAAAGCACTCCATCCATCTCTCTCCATGGCTGCCTGCTGCAAATCTATTTCTTCCACTCGCTGGGGATCACAGAGGCTTGTTTGCTCACAGTCATGGCTTATGACCGGTACTTAGCCATCTGCACCCTGTTAAAATATTCCACCACGATGACCACCAAGCTTTGTTTCCAGCTAGTGCTGGGATGCTGCGCGTGTGGCTTCACTTGTCCTTTGCCGGAAGTCATCCTGACTTCCCAGCTGCCGTTCTGCGGCCCCAGTCGCATCAAGCACATGTTCTGTGATTTCCCTCCACTGAGGTACCACTTCAGTGGGAAGGTAACAACGTTCTGTGTGCCTTGGTGTTTAGTCATGCCGGCCACATGACCATGGAAACGTCTTCGGACAGCGCTGGCTCTTCGGCTTCGAAACAGAGATGAGCACCGCAACCCTTGAGTCGGATTCGACTGGCTTTCCAGAAAGGGAACCTGTACCTTTACCTTTATTTATCACCTCACCATGAATGACTTGGCTCAGGCAGCTAATGACCACTGAGGCAAGTACTAAATCTGCATACCAGGGATCCAAGGCTATGCAATGAAAACAGATATCCCAAGGCAAGGGGGAACCAGGTCGAGTGCTGATAAAATGTGGAGTGAATGCCAGATGCCGGATGGACCTTGGTTCCCTACCCCACCACACCACCAGAGGGCTTCTGGAGGTTTTTAAAATTGTTAATTGACATATTGATGGAGCCGTGTATCGAAGTCAATTACTAATTTTTTTAAAATACCTCTAAACAAGCCCCCCCCTCCCCGTGTGGCATGGGGGGAAAATGATTACTGCAGGGCACAGCATCAGGAAAAACAAAGGGAAATCCACTCTGTGGAAGACCCGGCAGCAGCTGCAGTAACAGGGAAACCACAGAAAAGCATTTCTGGGGGGGAAAGACTGCCGTCTGGTGGATATGTTTTGTACCTCATGTGGACACACACAGCCTTGTACTAAAAGGCTCAAAGAACATAATACCAAAAATAGCATTTTAAAAATCCCCCCGATGATTTTATTTATTTACTTTTTTATATCCTGCCTTTCTTCCGAACGGGGACCCAAAGCAGCTTACATTGTTTTCCTCAGCTCCACTGTATTTTCACATCAACATTCGCCCTGTGAGGTAGATTTAGGCTGGGTATGTGTGATTGATCCAAGGTCACCCATCAAGATTCCTCCACAGAGCAGGGATTTCGACCTGGAGTTACCCAGATCCTAGTCTGACACTTTAACCACTGCACCACTTGTCATGAAGGATTTTCAACTACACACACACCCACACCACACAACATCTCCCAGTCAGGTCCGAGATTATAAATGAATCTGAGGTGTTCTCTCCCCCCCCCCCCCCCCAATCACAAAGTTCAGAACTGTAGTAGGACACCATCATCCGCCACTGTGCCTGGATGCTTTCTTCATAGTTTCCGTCTCTTCTCTACGATGGAGCTATAGATCTGTTGAGTCATAGGTACATAGCGCTTCTCCGACACATCCAGGAAGAAGAGAGGATCGCTGATGACTGCAGGATCGAATCCGTCCTTCACCAGTTGGCCTTTGATGTGTTTGAAACTTCCTGTGATCTCCAGGGCTTTCTGAGTGCAAAAACAAAATGGCAGTGACTTACAAGCAACCCACAACAGTCATCCCCAATAGGAGAGTTAAAAGAAGGCCAAGAGGCCAGAGGGAGGGAAAGCAGTCGGTATAGCCTGATCTTGTCTGATCTCGGAAGGGTTTGCACTTGGATGGGAGACCATCAAGTAAGGCTCTGCATAGGAAGGCAAAGGCAAACCACCAATACTTCTCACTTGCCTTGAAAGCCCCATGCTGGGCTTGCCGAAAGTCATTTGAAACTTCACACCACTTACATACATAAGGGACCGGGACTGTGTGTGGTGTTGACAGGACTGCAAGGCAGGTGGGTAGAGAATTTGGCAATTGGACTTCTAGCAGAGAGAAATAACATGGGGGGGCAGGGGTCATTTCATAGAAAAAGAGGTGCAGGAGCTCATTAGCATAACTTATTTGCATATGCCACACCCCCTGACATCACCGGAAGTGTGTCAGAAGGCAACACCCACCGCTCAGGCTCCACTGGACTGTTTTGGATTGCTAGCTATGGAGGGGGGGAGGAAGCGCAGATCTGCTCTCACAGGAGCTTGTACCTGAAGGTGGGATTGGGGGGGGGCTCTGCAACTTACCTAGCTGCGTCCTGCTCCTCGTGGCCCAACTGAGGGCTGCTGGGAGCAGGGGGTGGGGCTTGTTGCATGTGCCCACCCCCTGGGCTCCTTACTGCCGGAGCTCCGCTCCTGTGTGCTCCCACAGGAAATGAGCCTTGGGGGGGGGGATAATCTGCGGATGCTCAGTGGCAGGGCTAAGCAAGTGTTCAGGACTGGTTTAAGGCCCTCCGTTGCCTTCTCTTACTTCCCGCCTCTTTATTGTATGGACACAGCCAAGTCTTAGAGTTCTTCCTTTCCCTCTTCCTGGATCAGCCACCCACATTTCTTTCAGGGGCACAGACTATGGTACAAAAGTACCGGGGCTTCAGTCACCCTGGAGTGTCGGCCTGTGTCATGGAGGGACCCTAGCAGCATACCTGTCCAAATGGGGCATGTTGTGTGTAGTGCTCTCTGAATAGATGGGTGGAGGGGGTGAGAGGATCTTTGTTTGGGAAGCAGCCCTGATTTCTTTGGGCAGAGTTGGGTGTTGATACCCAGTCTTGTCATACACATTGTTCTGTGGGCCACAGAACAACGCAACGGAGAGATGCCTCACCTGGATGCGGATGAAGTGTGGGATGGCATAGTTTGGCAGGTAATCTGTGGCATGCCTGTACATCTCCTCTCCGTCAAAAGGCAGCCCCTCTTTTAGCTGGATGGCTGCCATCCCGATCTTTCCTTCATGGCCTGTGGCAAATCAGAAAGGGGGCTGATGATCAGAATATTAGAAGAGCTCTGCCAAAGCAGACCAGCATCCTGTTTCGCACAGTGGCTAAAGAAGCTGCTCTGGAAGGCCAACAAGCAGGGCACCGAGGTTGAGGCTTTCCCTTAATATTGGCTCCTAGAGTTGCCAGTTCTGGGTTGGAAAATTCCTGGAGATTTTGGGGATGGAGACTGCGGAGAGTGGGCTTGGGGAGGGGAGGGATCTCTCTGGGGCACAATGCCATAAAGTCTGTCTTCTAAAGCTGCCATTTCCTCCAGGGGAACTCATCTCTGTAGCCTGGAGATCAGTTGTAATTCCGGGAGATCTCCAGGCACCAACTAGAGGTTGGCAACCATACTTAACATCGGTATTTAAACCGCTTACTGCCTCTTCATATGGATGTTTGCCTTAATCACTCTAACTAGTGGCTTGTATTTAGTTTTTAGATGGTACACTGAAATGCTTTACATGATTAAAGTAAAGGTTCCCTTGCTCGAAAGCCAGTCAAATCCGACTCTAGGGTTGCGGTGCTCATCTCTGTTTCAAAGCTGAAGAGCCAGCGCTGTCCGAAGACGTTTCCGTGGTCATGTAGCCGGCATGACTAAACACCAAGGCGCACAGAACGCTGTTCCCTTCCCACTGAAGTGGTACCTATTTATCTACTTGCAATTTCTTGCTTTCGAACTGCTAGGTTGGCAGGAGCTGGAACTAGAGATGGGAGCTCACTCCATCATGCAGCACCCGGGTCTCGAACTGCTGAACTACTGACCTTCCACAGCCTGCAGTTCAGCGTCTTAACCACCTGAGCCACCGCAGCTCCTTTTACCTGATTAGCAGAATACATATGTTTACAAAGTCCTTTCATGTAATTGTACACAGTTTTGTAACAGGACAATTATTTTGTATCTTATTAAGAAGTCTGTACCAATTAGCTTGTACAAAAATTTGATGGACCAAGGGTCTGATTCAGTATATGGCAGCTTCATGTGTTTATGTGTTCAACCTGCAATATCCAAGTTGGGGTGGTAAAAAAAAAAAAATCCTAACCAGCTTTTCCTTTCGCATACTACTGCGGAAGCAGAACAACTATTGAGGTTCGTTCTTTGGACTACATGTGGCAAAGACTTGTAGGGCGGGGAGACATTTCAGACTCACCTGGCACGGGCACCCCATATACATTGACTTGTTGAATAAAGTTCACTGTGGTCAGGATTTTCTCAACCTCCGTAGTGGCCACGTTCTCCCCTTTCCAGCTGCATGAGAGAGGAGCCATTACCACTGGGTTCACTATCCAGGACTGATTTTTTAAATTGATATTTTATTATCTTTTATATCTCCAGATATTTTTATGCATATCTTAACACTTCATTTTTCATATTCTCCTCTTTCTAAGAATCAAACTAAACATTGAAAGCATATAAGTACTCTCTATCCTCGTTATCTTATTCCCTTTCTTTACCCGCCTGCCCAAACCGCCATACAACTTCCTCTAATTCATGATCTAAACGTTATTGCATTCTTCTTTAAGTTATTCAGGACTTCTATACTTCTTTTGCTGGATTCCCTCCGTGCATCCTTATTTTATACTTCTAGTCTTTCTTCCATACCTATAAAGGAAAGTTGAAGAGGGTTGCCTCCGAAACTGGGTGCTGCAGAGGAAGCCTCTGCAACAGGAGGAAACCCTCCTCCCTCTTATCAGGGGTCTTGGGGGGGCACACCCTTCCCCTCCTTGCTATGTCATTGGCTTTAACTATTCCATTCCTATTGTCTATTTTCCATTATTTTTATTCCCACTCATCCTATCTACTAACTCTAACTTACTCTATATACTAACATACTATCATACTAACTCTAACTTACTTTATGGATTACATTCTATCTCTCTGCTTCAAAACATAATATCACAGTTCAAACACTTCCATTCCTTAATTTGGTTACTGCCTCTACTGAATTTTTCCCTGCAATTTCATTAGGTGCAGTGAACTTTTTGTTTTCCAAATTAACCACGAGATGTCAGAGCGGCAACCATCTGTATTGAATTCCTTTGTCTCTGAGAATTTTTGCTGTTTCCTTAAGACGTCTTCTTGCGATGATTGCCTCAGCTGGAATGTCAGGAAACAGATACACAATCGTGTCCTCCAGGCTCAGTCCCTGCTTGTCTCTCGCGATTGCAAAAAGTTTATTCTTCGTCTGAACCTGTTTAAATTCGATGATAATATCAGGTGAAGCGTTTTCAGGAGCCTTTTTGGGGATATTTAGCCAGAAGACACTGCTTCACCTGCTCCTAGAAGAACCTGAGTCAGCCATTTATTTAAAGCTGCAGCGAGATTTTCTTTTTCACCAAAGTTTACAGATACTCCATGGAGTTTAACATTCTTTTCTCTCCGTTTTGTTTTCTGGAGTATGATCTTATTTTTGACCCATATCTCAAATTCCTGGAATTCTTTAATGTTGTCTGCATTCTTTTTTGCCAAGTGAAATGCTGATTCAGCTTTCCTCTCTGTCATTTTCAACGCTGCGATGAGCTTGTCTAATTTCTTATTTATAGGCTCAATTGTTTGTTTGAGCAGCCAAGTTCATTTTTGAACTGTCCAACCTCTCCACTCAGAGACTTTAAATCATTCTTGATTTTGTTCCTTATCTCTGTTAAGGCATGCAATAACACAGCCTGTTCACTTTGGTCAGAGTTACTCCCCCCTGCCACCATTTCCTCTAACAGAGATGCCTCTAGGTCTGAATCATCTGAGTGTTCAAGGTCAGTATTACTCTTTTTGGGAGGTCTATAAGGAGGATTTTTAATAGCTTTCTTTGCTCTGGTCCTTCCCATAGCTAGCATTTGTATTTGTTCCAAACTTGGCTGTATTTTCTGGAAGTAGAGCTCTAATTTTCCATGGGAATAGCAGGAGTTGGAAGAGATGCAGCCAGCCAGAAGCTCAGCCACCACGCCCCCCGTCCAGAACTGATTTCATAGAGGTGAACATCCATCGTTTGCTCTACAACCAGGAGAACTATGCAGCTTGATAGCACTCAGGTTCCTGACTGTACATCCTAGGTATCCTATGTATTGTTATAGGGCTATTCTGCATCTAGCATTCGCTCCACATTTTCTCAACTGGGAGGAAAAGGTGCAGCTCAAAATCACATGCAAATACCTTGGGGCAATGCCGTACTGACTGCAAAGTCACCCCTGAATGGCCATAAATCTATGCAGAAAGTACCATAAAACCCAATGACCAAAGAAAGTGAAAGCAGCATGCAATGCAGAGGGTACCATAAAAATCCGATGATCCACCCTTGAACAGCCATCAATCTATGCAGAAGGTACAATAAAATCCCACGATCAAAGAACTCAAAAGTGGCATGGAGTGTGGATGCTACCACAAAATCCAGTGATCAAAGGAAGTGAAAGCAGCATGCAATGCAGAGGGGAATTTCTGTTCCAATGTGGGTTTCGTAAAACAATGGAGGGAAAAGCCAATGAAGAATTGCCCATAGTTTGAATTCTGATTAGTACAGATGAGTCTATCCTGCATGACAAAAGGAATGGCAATGTGTCTTAATGACTGTAGACATCTTTTCAGTGGGCCTTAAATGAGAGGAAATGATCTGACCAAGGACCCATCAGGGCCTGAGATGAGGGGACCCACTCAGCTGAGGGGAAGGGGTGTGTATCTGGGAGACCCAGGTTTGAATCCCCACACATGCCATGGAAGCTCACTGGGTGACCTTGGGCCGGTTGCATATTCTCCGCCTAACCTGCCTCACAGGGTTGTTGTGAGGATAACATGCTGGAGAGCAGAACAACGTAAGCTGCTTTGGGGTCCCCATTGGGGAGAAAGGCTGGGTATAAATGTATTAATAAATGATAAGTATCCATATGAAAAGAAGAAGAGAAGAGATTGGATTTATACCCCGCCCTTCACAGCTTACAATCTTCTTTCCCTCCCCCTCCCCACGGACACCCTGTGACTAGGTGGGGCTGAGAGAACTCTCTCAAGAACTGCCCTTGAGAGAACAGCTCTAAAAGAACTTATGACTTATCACACCAGCAGCTGCATGTGGAAGCATGGGGAATCAAACCCGGTTCTCCCATATTGGAGTCCGCCACACCAAACTGGCTCTCCAAAAAAACCCCACAATTTTTATTTGGGGGTAGGGCAAGAAGCAGAACACATCTGGCAGTTGGGTGAAGCACCTTACACACAAGCTGGCAATCCCCCCCCCTCAGGTATGTGATGTGGGGTGGCAGATCTGCTGCTGTATAGGAGTTCCTCTTTGGCCCCTCACCTGTGCTCTGTTTGTACATATATAAATAAAGCAAAGGCTACAAAAAAACTGGTGGCTTCCAGTGTTCTCTTCTCCTAAGGGAACCAATCCCTGGAATTCTTCAGTGCTCAAGAAAATGGAGAGTGCATCAGCTGCATAAGGCCTCCTTCACCTGCCATGGTCTTGATTCAAATCGGTGCCCTGCGGGCCTGGGAACTGAGTTCCTAGAAGGGAACTCACAGCATGCATCTGATAGAAAGTTCTCCTGGTGGGCCTAGAAAAGACCCAAGGACTTTGTAACCTGTAGTTAGCCCTAATTTAAGTCACTCCCAGGGGGACAGACAACTCATCCCCACCCACATGGGGAGTCTCACCGGAAAGTATCTCCTATCCGGTCCTGGAAATATACAAAGCCTTCATGGTCTATCCTCAGGAGGTCTCCACTATTGAAATAGTAGTCTCCTTTCTTCCGGACATCCCGGAGGATCTTCTTCTCTGTCTTTTGGCGGTCCCCAGCATAGCCGATAAATGGGTTAATGGTTGTAATCTTGCCCACCAGCAAGCCTGTCTCACCTGGGAAATGAAAAGAGAATCAAGTGGAGTCACACATGAAATCTGTCTTATACTGAATCAGACCATTTCTCCATAGATGTCAGTACTGTCTATGCGGAATGGCAGCAGCTCTCCAGGGTCTCAGGTAAAGGTCTTTCATATACCTCCTACCTGGTTCTTTTAACTGGAGGTGCTGGGGATTGAATTTGGGACCTTCTGCATGTCAAACAGATGCTCTGCCACGGAGACACAGCCCTTCCTCCCATGCAAAGAGCCAAGGACGGGGCAACTCTCTTGGGTGTTTCAAATGAGAGAAGACCACTGTTAGTAGGGATTATTAAGAACCCATTCATATGTTTTAGGATAGAGCAGGCCTGCCCTGTTTTGAGCTCGCACTAAGGTACCAAACTCTATTTCACTAAGGTGAAGATAGCATATACACCTCTCATATGGTGGTGGAGGTGGAGAGCTTAATTGACATATCACCAACTTTGTATGTGTGGTAACTGTTAAGTGCCATTAAGCTAGGCTTGCCAAGTCTCCCTGGGGGGCGGGGAAACCCCCGCCCCAGAGGCCCGTTCACTGCTGCCGGCAGATCGGGCCACGGGGGAAACCCCACCCCAACATGCACGTCACCCGGAAGTGATGCGACCACAGCGGGCACGCTGGGGGCGGGGCCACAGTCATCCGAGAGAAAACTCTATGGTTTTCCCTTGGATGGTCGAGGCCCCGCCCCCAGCGTGCCCGGCATTGTCACGTCACTTCCAGGGAAAGGAGAAGTTTGGGGAGGGGAAGGGAGGGGAGGGAGATCAGTGGGAATTTGATGCCTTAGAGTCTGCCTTCCAAAGCTGCCATTTCCTCCAGGGGAACTGTGCACTGTAGTCTGAGATCAGGAATCCCCAGAAAACAACCAGGCCTTAGCCTGGGGGTTGCCATCCCTAATTCCTGCACCTTTTCTGTCTGTCACAGTACCCTGTCAACCCAGTACACAAGTTACACTGAGTGTATGTATAATCCATGTACAGTCTACACTTGGTTTTTCTTTATATGTGCAGGGAATAATGTTTTTTTTTCAAATGAGCCTTAGGATGGAATGTGGTTTATATCTAATAGTTTGTAATCCACCTGGAATGCTCTTTGGCCAAACCATAACCAATGTAGAAATCCTACAGATGATATTAGATAAATAAGACACTTCCTGGTAAGGGTTGCTAGCTTCCAGGTGAGATATAGTTTAGTGGCTGATTCTGCACGGGCTTTTCCCTGTGGTGTTCTATGAAACCAACGTTGGAACAGAAATTCCCCTCTCCATTGCATGCTGCTTTCGCTTCCTTTGATTATCGGGTTTTGTGGTAGCGTCCACACTCCATGCCACTTTCGAGTCCTTTGATTGTGGGATTTTATTGTACCTTCTGCATAGATTTATGGCTGTTTTATGGCTGCTCAGGGGTGGCTTTACAGTCAGGACAGCATTGCCCCCAGGTACTTGAATGTGGTTTTGAGCTGCACTTTTTCCTCCCAGTTGAGAAAATGTGGAGCGAATGCTAGATGCAGAATCACCCTTTGTACTAGCTTCCCGGTGAGGGCTGGTGATCCCCTGGAATAACAGTTGATTTCCAGATGCCATACAAAGCTTATTTATTTATTTAAAACATTTGTTCCACTTCTCCTTGAGAAAACGGCTGCTTTGGAAGGTGGACTCTGGCCCCGGTCACACGAGCCGGATGATCCGCCGCTGAAGGGAGGCAAATCAGAGCCGGAGCAAAAAGAACCACAGGAGTGTGATCCGACGTGCCCCCACGGCTCCGTGCCCCAGCGGCCAATCACACAGTGCGCAGTAAACCGGCAGTAACGCGGTTGTGCGCATGCGTGGGATGGGGAACGGCGCTGGCTGCGACGTCCTACTGGCACTTCCCCAACCAGATGCCTTCCGTTGGCCCGCATCATCCGGTAGGTACTGCTGTTTTGCTAGTACCTTTTTGATGCGCGTTTGTGGGCCTGAGGGACGGATCGGGGACGGGTTTGCGCTGCTTCCCAGATGTTGCGGTGTGATCGCGCCCGCTTGATGCGCCCCCGATTCGTCCCTCTTGCGGAAAAATCGCCTGGCCAGGCTTGCTGCCACGAGGGCCAGGTCCTTTTCGGTGGCGGCTCCTATCTGGTGGAATGAGCTCCCGGAAGAGATCAGGGCCCTGAGGGACCTGTTACAGTTCCGCAGGGCCTGCAAGACGGAGCTCTTCTGCCAGGCTTTTGAATAGAAGCCGCCGCCGCTACCACTACCATCAATGAGGGCCAGGATTGCAGCACCGCTGCCGGAGGCTGAGTGGCCAAGGTACATCAGGGGGCCACATCATCCTCCCTTTGCCCCAAGGGCAGGTGCAATATGGAGAGAGGTGTTTGTCACGCGGGATCTTTGGCCGTTTGCCCATTGTATTAAAGTATTTTAAAATGTTTTATTGTGCTTTTATTGCACTGTGTGCCATATTGTGTATTATGGTGCTGTAATGCACCTCATACTGTAAGCCGCCCTAAGCCCACGTGCGGGGAGGGCGGGGTATAAATAAAATTAAATAAATAAATAAATACCGGGACCTGTATGGCACTATACCCTACTGAGGGCCATCTCTTCCCTAAAGCCACCCTTCCAGGTCCCACCCTCAAATCTCCAGGTATTTCCGAACCCCAAGCTGGCAACCCAATGTAATACGCCAAAAGATAGCCCAGAGGCCAGGGGCGTTTGCGTTTCAAATGCATTCTAAAATGGGGTGCCAGAGCCAAGAGGCTCCACAAACCAGGACCCTACCTATGCCCAAGACCAGCCCACATCTGAAGGCTCATTACTTTATCTTACCTGGAGCTACAGGGATGCAGTAGCCTTTCTCATCCCTCACGGGTTCACCTGTGTCAGGGTCGTAGCGAATAAGTTCAAAATCAGCCAGTTTCTGGAAGGGAATAAATGGGAGGCGAAAACATGAGCCCAAAGAACAGAGACTGGTGGTGGCTGACAGGCTGTTAATGGTATTTCACCTGTGCCCCCCCCCCCAGGGCAACCCTGACTAGGCTAGGCTGAGAGGGAGAGTGACTGGACCAGGTCACCCAGTGAGCTGCCTTGGCAGAGTGAGGATTTGAACCTGGGCCTTCCAGATCCTAGTCCGACACTTTAATCGCACTGGCTATCACTAGAAACGTCTCCCCGCCTTACCCCAGAATCCTAGGAATTGGATTGGTGAGAGTAGAATGGTTGGAGATTCCAGGTTCCTATTAAGATTGTCAACTGCCTGGTGAAAAAATGTCCTGTCCCCTTAAGAGAAGCTTACTAGAATGTTAGTTACCCAGCTTCAGCTGCCCATTTCCATACATGAAGCCTTTAATAAAAGGGACAGGACCTTTTTCCAGGCCTGTTGTCAACCCTAGCGCCTGTTTCTGGAATTCCCTGGAGTGATTACTAAACCAGTCTAAATGTACAGTCTATGTTCTCTTCTTTGACAGCAAATCAACTGAACCCAGTTTGGTGAAGTTCGCTTCTAAGAATACATGCACGGAATTTGGTTGCCTCGCATCTGTGTAAATAGCATGTAGAAGAACCTTGCAAGACAGAGAGGACTTTGCTCGTTGGCAACATTCTACTCGACGGCTGTAGCAGTAAATCATTATTTAATTTTCAACTGAAATTAACTCAAAGTCCAAGCCCAGCTGACACCTCTACACATGCTCCACCCAAGTCAATACTTGCACTGCTTTTTTGAGCAATGGCCTCTTGACAGAGGGTGTCAAAAGCTGCCAAGGCCCCGGTCACACGGGCCGGATATCGCGGGGGGAGGCGTGGCTGTTTGCCCCGGAGCGAATTACCACACGGCTACCGGATGAAACGTCCCACTGACGTCCCGTGGTTCGGGGGGAGGTGCCGATCATACGTCAATCCTGTGGTGTGGCAAAGAAGCGGTGCAGCGGGGTTTGTGGGTTTTTTTAACCGAAGTGTGCACATGCGCTGTTGGGTGCTTGTGCGCAACCCGTGGAGACTTGAAAAAAAAAACCTTTTCGTGACGGGACATGGGCGGGCGCCGGATGCCACGAGCTACCACCGGAAACGTGATCAGACACCTGCCCTTGCCCCGCGGTTTCCGGAAACTAGTACCTCCGAGGTACTAGTTTTTTATGGCACATCTTCGGCGGGAAGCCTCGGGAGCTCTGCGCTTCCCAGATGTTGCGGTTTGATCGCGCCTGGAAAATCCGCCTATCTTCCGTCTCTGTAGCGTGGCTAATGCTCCGTGTGACCGCAGCCCAAGTTAGTTATTCTGCATCTTTAAAACCCGTGGGGTTTTTTCCTGTTCGTTTGTTTTTAAAAATCAGCTTAAATAGAGGCGGCTTCCAAGTGAGTGCAAAAACGTGCCCTTGGGTGGCCAACTCCAGGTTGGGAAATACCCAGAGATTTTGGGGGTGGAGCCTAGGGAAGGCAGGGTTTGGGGAGGGGAGGGACTTAATGCCCTATAACCCGCCTTCCAAAGAGGCCATTTTCTCCAGGTGATAGAGACCACCTGGAGATCTCTGCAGACTGGAGTTTAGTTGTCATCCCAGAAGAACTCCAGGCCCCACCCTCCCAGTTAGAATCAACCCCCCCTTTTTTCCTGTGTGTCACCAAGGAAATAGACAAGCAGCCTGTCTTTTCACCTTCGAGGCCTAATCGCAGTGCCAGAGTGGGGGTTCACTGTGACTGAGTTAAGCTCCTCTCTCCCCACCCGGCATGGTCCTCCTGATCTGAGATTACCCAGCACAATGTCTATTAAATTTAAAAAACAAAAAGGCTTGGCAGATCACACCTTCCACTATTTTGTTTGTTCTGACTTCAACTACCTCAAAGGTTTGTTGTCAGAAGGGTTGTCAGGTACTCCCTGGTGGAGAATGGTGTTTGTGTATGTGTGTGTGTGTGGGGGGGGGAGTAGGGTTGCCAGATGCAGGTTGGGAAATTCCTGGTGACTAGGGGGAGGAGCCTGTGGAGGGCAGGGGACTCAGTGGGGTATCAAGCTACAGAGCCCACCCTCTAAAGCATCCATATCCTCCAGGGGAACATGTAGTGTATTCAAAGCTGCCTTGAATGCATAACATGTGTGAAACATCTAATTGGAATGTGATGTTGAGCTTCGTCCTGGGCTACGATCCAAATCCATCCAATAGTATTGCTAGCCCAAGAGGTATCAAGCTAATCACTTCCAGCAAGCTCCCTAAGCGGGAACGAATGTGATTGGACCTTATCTCTGCAACCTCATAGGTTGATATGTGTACAGTGGGTGTGGCTACATTAGCCGGGAATGTTTAAAAGCAGGACAGCTGCAATGTAAAGGCTGTTCTGGCTATCAGATGTTGATCCGTGTTGGAGTTGTGTTCGAGTTGAAGAATAAAGTTGGGTTCTTGCTGAATCACTCTCCGACTGCTTTGTTAAGCGAGCGACTTAACAGAACAGATCTCTGTAGTCTGGAGATGAGCTGTAATTCCAGGGGATCCCCAGGTCCCACCTGGAGGCTGGCATCCCTAGTTGTCAAGATCAAAGGGGGAGGGATGGACGTGCATCACAGGTCCTTGGAGCCAGGGTTGGGATAAAAGAATAATCCTAATGGAAAAAGTGAATAAGGCTTTAAAGCCACCAAAGGTTCACTTCCTTCCAAGGGATTCTAAGGGTTGTCCCAACAGAAGCAAGTGTGGGAGGAGAACCCTTGGCAAGGGGACGTCACATTCATGGCAAGGAGTGGCGGAACCTATTCCAACTTCAAAGCGGTGCATAGAATCTGGGAACCAATCAGACCCACCCCAGTGGCTGAGCCAGCAAGGACATGCCTGACTTGTTATTAAGATACCCTGGCTGTTTTCATGCGGCTTTAGTGGCACAGAATGTTTTTGCCTGTGTGGGTGGAACAGATCTCATCATTCCGTCACATGCTTACAACCCCTGACAAGAAGCACGCCTTTCGAAAGGAATCCCAGCCAAGTCCTCTATAAACAACCGCTGATCTCTGGGAAGTCATTCCTATTGCTCTTACCCTGTGCAAACGAGCAGCATTCAGTGGAGAAGACTGTTGCTTTGTGATATCAAAAGGATGCTAGTCAACCATTCCATATCTGTTGGTCTCATTCCTCATGAAAAAGCCTATGGCAAGTCAGGAATGGTCCAAATGGAACTGAGAAAAGGTTGAGGAGCAAGGCCGTAAAAGCCAAAATCCAAATCTGCTCGTCAGGATCTCAACAAATCAAATATATTTTGAATAACATTTTTTAAAGGGGACCAAGATGAAGACAGTCTGCCAAAATGCTCTTGGTCTTTGATGGTTAATAGTAGGAATGTTCTGCAGGTTATGAAAATTTTGTTCATTTATTAAAGGATATTAGTTGCTGTAGTTTTTCTGGGTTGTGTGGTCGTGGTCTTGGCATTGTAGTAACTGTGACTGGCATCCTCAGAGGTATAAACACAGAAAGATGAAATACTTCCTGAGGAGGTTCTTTTGTTTCCTGAGGAGGTGTTTGTTTTTTTCCCCTTCGACAACATATTAAAGTATATTTGATTTGTTTAGACTCTATGTGTTCCAGGGAGTGGATTCGAGTTTTATGTTTTCCTCAGCTCTTTTGGGGCTGGGGAGTTCAGTTCAGTTTGTGTGTTGGCTGCAGGTTTGCGATCTCTCATCTCTGTATGAGGGTTGCCAACCTGCAGGTGGTGGCTGGAAATCTCTTGGTATAACAACTGATCTCTAGGTGATGGAGAAAACAGCCAATTTGGAAGGTGGATTCTATGGCATTATGTCCTGCTGAGGTCCCTCCCCTCCTCAAACCATACCCTCCTCAGGCTCCACCCCTTAAATCTCCAGGTATTTCCCAACCCAGAGCTGGCAACCCTGTTCTGTACATACAGTCAGGAATGGCCCATGATGAGATTCAGCAAATGACTGGTGCTTGATGTGTAGGGAGGGAAGCTTGGACGAACTGCTAGGGTAAAATCCCTATGTGGTTTAATGGTGAAAATCAAGCCCACTTCCACCCAGGGGATTCCCCCCATGTTGGGGGGGGGGCTCCACATGACACAGCACTCATTCTGAGCATGACCGATGGGACTCCAGGGGCTTTCCCTTTGAGCCAGACCAACCCTACTCCACTCCTTTGGCTCTGGCTTGAAGGGGAACTGTGGGTGTAGTTGCTGGGGGAGTGTCCATGCAGGCACTATGTTGTTGTTGTTCAGTCGCACAGTCGAGTCCAACTCTTCACGACCCCCAGGCACTATACCTGCAACCAAAATGGCACTATACCTGCAACCAAAATGGCAGAGCTAAACATAATCCTCCAAAATGAGGTAAATAATACTCCCCAGGGCTATTTTGGATGGCAGAAATTGTTGCCGTGAAAACTCAGCATGCCTGGACATTGGGGGGTACTACATCACTCTAAGGCCCATTACACACACACATCTTGCTGCAGATTTTCAGAGCAGTAAGCCTTTAATCTTGACTTCAGATTCTGTGCCCGCCTTACGCACCATTCTTTTTCCTCTGGTGTTTTTATTCTGCAGCTACAGTTGGTGTAGCCAGTTTGGTGTAGTGGTTAAGTGTGCGGACTCTAATCTGGGAGAACCGGGTTTGATTCCCCACTCCTCCACTTGTACCTACTGATGTGACCTTGAGTCAGGCACAAGCTCTGGCACAAATGTTCCTGAAAGAGCAGCTTGTGTCAGAGCTCTCTCAGCCCCACCCACCTCACAGGGTGTCTGTTGTGGGGAGGGGAAGGGAAAGGAGTTTGTAAGCCGCTCTGAGACTCCGAGTGAAGGGCGGGGTATAAATCCAATCTCTTCTCTTCTTCTTCTCTTCTACAATGTTTAAAAATGCACTTTTCTACATCGAGGTGGAGCGTCACTTGGGATATGTGGGGGGGTGTCAAAAGTTTTTACAAAATTTTGCACAATTGCCCTATCGCAGCTGCGCAGTAGCGTCCAGCAAGTGCCTTCAATTTAAATCCTTGTGGTTCAAGTTTTGCGCATGCATTTTAGCGTTAGTTCATTGAATGAAACAGAACAGAACTAGGCAGGCAGGCAAAAGGAAGAAATTGGCATTGAAATTGACAAGACTTTTTTTTTTAATTGACAAGCAGCTGCAAAGCCCCAATTTTCCATATTGCGGAGCACTGGGGGATGAGGGGGTATTTTGGCCAATGCCCTAGAGCAGCTTCATAGTAACACTAATTTCCTTTCATGCCTTGCAAATTTGTATGGTTTTCTCTTTGTGATTCTCTAATTTGATCCTGCTCACTAATCGTGATCTTGGCAGTTTTTTAAAGCCTGTCCTGTATGGATTGGGTTCTGTCCTCCAAATGGATTGATCCCAAAGCGATTCTTAAGTTTGGCGGTTCACAGAAGGTCCATGTGGCTCAACTACCATTTTAATGTTAGGCTTCCAGAGACTGCCAAATGGTCCCCCCCCCCTCCAAACTTTGTTCACCTAAAGCATTAAAGGGAAAAAACGTTTTCAAAGCTTTAGGCTTCTCATCCCAGTGTCTCCCTCTGTCTCTCTCTACATATCATGTCAATTTCATTCCACACTGACAATTCCCCCCTTTATTTTGTTTGCATGCAGAACTGACATCCGTTTTTGTTTTGTTTTTTGCACTGGGGACGCTGCTGTTTGCCTCCTCTCTGATTCCCCCTTTCCAGTCAATACCAGCAGAGAACTTTTTAAAAAAAACCCCACATTTTAATTTTTTTATTCAGTGATCTGAAACTAGCAATAGTCTATCACTAGACTCATGCTGCTTGTAAAAAAAAATTAAAATTCTAAAATGAGGGGGAAAGTGAGCTTGTACACCGACAAAGGGGGGGAGGATGGGGGGGATGACCTCAATGTGGGCGCGGACTGAACTTCGAGGGGTGGCAAAAAGGCAGGGGGGGTGAATCTGAGTGAATCTGCATGCTTTTGAATTACCTTCGGCTTGGAAGCAAAACAAGGGGGAAATCGGCACAAAAGCAGTCTCAGAAAACCCAGGGAAACAGTGACCAGGAAGTGAACTGAGAGCTGAAGGGAGGAAAATCCATGCAGAATGACAAAGAAAACCCAATGGACATGCATGGTGAAAGTGAGAGAAAACACCCATGCATAATAGTCCTAAGTGTGTACATGCAGGGCTTTTTTTGTAGAGAAAGCCCAGCAGGAACTCATTAGCATAATAGGCCACACCCAACAGCTGAAACTCATTAGCATATTAGGCCACACCCCGACACTACAGCTCTTTAGCATATTAGGCCGCAGCCCCGTGTTGCCAGACATGTGGTCATCCAGCCACACCCACCTTTTGCTTCTTATTCTGTTTACCTTGTTTGTTGTCAAAACCCAGGGCCTTTTTTTTTTGTAGCAGGGACTCCTTTGCATGTTAGGCCACACACGCCTACTGTAGCCAATCCTAATGAGTTTCTGCTGTTGGGTGTAGTCTATTATGCTAATAAGTTCCTGCTGGGTGTGGCCAACTCAGGAGACAGCCGGAACTCCGTTCCTGTGCGTTTCTGCCCAAAAATAGCCCTGTGTACATGTGTTATCCCCTTGAATGGGACGTCTCTCTCTTTGTCTTAACCTGGGAGCTGCCCCCCGACTCCTCGTTTCTCTGAATGTTCTTTTGTTGTCTCCCATGCTCCTCATGGCTTTTCATGGAGTCATACGTCTGTACAGGTCTCTCCTGTAGAAACAATGCTCTCATACTTCCATACACGTGATGCCGGAGTTAGCTGGCCACGTGATAGGGAAAGTACTCTTTAGGTTAGGCTTTTCTCTCCTTTAAACTGCAGCCTGAATGTGAGCTGAATCTACTTGAATAAATGTAAAGTTTACTTTTGCAATATACTTCTTGGGAGACTTATTTTACTGCACTCAACATCACACTTCTATGACTGGGCAAACTGTGCTACATTAACCAAAATATCCCAATAAAAATAGTATGGCGGGGGGGAGGAATCTGGACCCCTTTCTCCTTACATGTCCAGGTCCTGATCCAAATTAAGCTCATACACACCTGGGAACTGGGTTCCCTGCATGGACCTCCAGTCCAGTCTCGATCCCACCCAAACTTCTCATGGTGGCCAAAGTTCAACACACAGACTTTGCAATGGTTGAGAATCAGCCATTAAACAGTCACAAAACACAAATCTTCCCATTGAGGGCTCATTACCTTCAAGAAGACATTGACCCTTCCAACGGCTCCAACTTTCCCGGTGTAATTGATGAATCCGATATTCGCCTCGGTCGCTCCATAGAGCTCGCAAATCTGGATGGGTCCAAACCGGCGTAGGAACTCCTTCCATACTTCCACCCGTATGCCATTGCCCAATGCTTTTTGTACACTGTGCTCACGGTCATTCTGCTTCTGCAAAGTGACAAGTCCAGAGGATTGCTGCTGTACTTGTGACCCCTTAGAACTAGCTGCTTATTTGCCCGCTTACCATCCTTCCATCCACCCATCCATCCATCCATCCAAGTGAGCCAGGAGGGAAACTTTATCAAAGTGGGCTTATTTTTCTTCTTTCTGATGAACTACAAATGACTAATATGGCAGAAAATGAACCATCAGGTTTTGTGGGAAAGACATTCAGACTTAAAACAAAGATGAAGTCTGGGAGTTATCCCTGGCATGAATGTCTCCCACATGTTCAAGCCAGACATCCTTGCATGTCAGAGAGAATCCATTCATGGGGTGCCAGGCTTGTGCTATGCAGGACACCTTCTGCTGGCAGCTGCTTAGAGTGGCAGTGGGGGGAAAAAATCCAAAAAACATTAAGGACCCTCTGCATCCCGGAAGTGACTTAGGGTAGCTCTAAGAATTGCCAGGAATGCTATGGTAAAACCAGCAATATCTGGTGATTCCTAGAGCTACCTTACGTCACTTACAGGTTTCCTCCAGAACAGATGTAATAATGCAGAGGATGTAGCAGCTCCCCAAATCCCTGCCAGTTGCCAGGAACAGTCAAGCAACGCTATCTGTTTACAATTACCCATCTTGTGCTACAAAACCACTGAGAGGTAAACTAGATGATACATTTCTCCACCAACTGGGTCATTATGGACCCAACCCCTAACCAGACAAATGCCCCCTAAGCCATTATGGTGGAGGAAGTTTGAAGCCCCATCTTCCTCCCATGTTCTGGTCCCAATATAAATCAGGCCCTGGCATACCATGGGTCTTAGTTCCTACCAGATTGTGTCCGACTCTTAGAAGATCTCCCCATCTCCCCCCCCAACCCAACCCATGGAGAAATGTACAATCTAGCTTACCCTATTGTAATCATTCACATGCAAGATTTTCCTTTGTAAGCAATATGCTGGGGTGGATGGATCATCCAGCCAAAGGGTTGGTGCCAACCCCCACTTCCAAAAAGCTTTTCTGCTGGTGAAAAAGGAAGGAAGGGTCCCCTTTGACCACCCAGAAAGGCTTCGCTGGAGATCATAATACCTTTGTGAACAAAATCTATGTAAGACTGTAGTAAGGAAAGGAAGAGATTTGGTGAAAAAAGCTGGCTGGATCCAACCCAAAGTCTATCTGAAAAAATAAGCCTTCAATGCCCATTTAATATGAAGTGGCTCAGTACTGGATCCATTGGTTCTATCAATCATCTGTCTATCATCTATCATCCATCCACCCACCCATCCATCCGGGTATTCATACCCCACTTTACTTCCAAATGGGGATCAAGCAATTTCATGGGTAGAGGCCTTCCCTAGCACCTCATGCCTGCTTATCTGTAGGTTGGAAGGATGGAATGTAGCATGCAAAACACATGGTCTGCTACAGAGCTACAGTCTCTCCTCTACTGAAAACATTTGGTTGGATCCAGTCAGCTTTTCCACTGGTGAAAAAGGAAGGTGAGAGTCCCCTTCAGCCACTTAAAAAGCTACACACTGGGGACCCTAGGACCTGTATGATCAAAAGCCACGTGGTATGGGGGCAGTAATGAAGAGTGTAATCGGGCAAGCTTTAGTGACAAAACTGCATGGAACCGTACATGCATATTAGAACTCCATGGTATGATCTTGGCCCTGGTGTCAGGGATTTCTAATGTCTGTATCACACTTGTATGAGATCTCTTTGCAATGTTTTGTGCTCATGAGGTTGACCTCTGTTATCATGAACACTGAGTTACTTACTGGTGGAGCGTGACACAGGTAGCGCAATACTTCTCCCACATACAGGATCAGAGAGACACGGTACCGCCTACAATCATCCCAGAATTGGGAAACAGAGAACTTAGACTTCAAAACAAATGTGCTGCCTTATGGGAAGAAAGACAGAGAAGGTTATTTGGGAGTGGTGATATACCACACCAAGGATGAAAACAGATATGCCAAGAAAAAACAGCTCTTAACAAAAGCACAGCTTTGAGACTAAAATTAATAACTGCAAATCAAACACTGGCATTGCTGTCATTTTTGTCCCTCCCCCATGTTTGAAGTGCTAAAACTGCCTCGAGGGGGATAGATAGGAAGACTCTTGTGGTAAGAAAATGTAGAAATATAGGTGGTTTGGGTTTAAAATGAACCAAATAGTCCATAAAATCCATGTACCTGTTCTTGGCTTTGCCCTTGCCAGCAGACAGCCTTGGCCTGTTTGAATCAAACCCCATGAGTCTTTGCAAGCCCTTTTTGTCCCAAGAGGATCTCTTTCCTGGTCACACACGCAAAGATGTAACACATTCCATTCCCAGGGAAACTCCACAGATGTGAAACTTGCCAATACCCCCAATTTCCTAGGCAATAAAATATATGACCATTTGGGAAATTGGCAGACTTCAATCCATAAGACTAGCTTCCTGAAATACAGAGAGTTCACACACACACCCTGCTTTCATCTCTCTGATAACATCAAAGCACAGTTTATTTTCCATGATTGGGAAAACACCAGGAGTAAACAATGACACTGTATTGATCCTATGGAATGTGAACTCTTGTTGTGTGAGACCAAGGAAGGGAAACAAATTTCCTGCAAGACAATTTCAACTTCTAAGTGTTAAGTTACAACTGTAATCCAGTTATTGAGGGACCCCTTTGATCTTTGGTATAAATATTGGTCAGTTACAACAGACCCTTGCTGACTCCTGTTAGGAGTCAGTCCGAGAGGCCTCTCGTCCGCGCATGCATGGGGTGGGGGAAACTTTGCTGCATGTTTATTTTTCTGTGTATTCTATCAATGTTTAGGAAATAGGATTCTACTGTGTTGGCAGGCTGGCATAGCGTCTTGCGGTCATCTTGCCAGACAAATCTCTGAAGGTTTTTCTATAATAAAGATAAGTTTTATTTTAAGAAGAGACCTTTGAATGTCTCTGCCAGAGCCTTAGTGATTTCCAAGCTTACACCTCTGCCTTTGGTGAGGAGGCAAACACACAGGAGACACACGAACTGAGGGGGGAGGGTGTGGGTGACATGGGTAAACACGCTTTCACAAACACGTGCAGCCACCCACATTTTTCTCTGCCAACAACTCTCAGCAACATAACATGAGGAACGCCCAATCAATGCCACACAGTGCCAGATTTTGCTACTGATGTGCAGAAGTTGGTTTGTTTTCCCATAGCTCAACCTTGGAAAAGAACAAGAAGGTTGGGATTTGGGGCTAGAGGAGAAACATTCTGCTCAGTTAGCCCCAGATTCTGGCAATATCTCTGTCTACATACAATGTTCACACCACCCCGCCCCTCCAGCGTGCTTAGAGGTAGCATATGACATTCTTTCCTCTCCAATTTAACCTCACAGTAACTCCATGAGGTAGGCTGAAGGGTGGGATTCATCCAAGGTTACCCAGCAAGCTTCATGGCTGGGTGAAGTTCTGAACCCAGATCTCCCAGCCCAACATGCTAACCACTACACTACATTGGCTCTCAGACACGTTATAGGGCATTAGGTGGCTATGGTTCAATGTTAGAGGAGAAGAGCTGATACCATTTCACAGATATGGACCTATTAGGAAAGTGGCTCGGGTGGGAAGCTCTGTCTCGTCACATCTCAGAAGCTAAGCAGGGTTGGTACTTGAGAGGGAGATCACCAAGGAAGACTGTGCAGATGAAGGCAATGGCCAACCGCCTCTGCTTCTCACTGGCCTTCCAAGCCCCTTGCTGGGGTCACCATGAGTCAGCTGTGACTGGACAGCACTTTACACACACACACACACAAGGAGGGGGGACTGATCTTGAGATGAGTTTTCTCACACTGTAGAGAAAGGGGGGAAGATCTCCCAATTATCTCCCTTCTTGCCCCTCCCTCTGCAAACGCTGATGGGGCCTCTCCCTACTATTTGTTTCTTTCACCTGCCAGTGTCAATCGTACACACCTAGAGCGACTGTGTATTAGACCTCCATGGACTTGCTATACATACCAACCTCCAAGCACCCTCCAACCCCCACCACAAGCCCAGTCATGTGGTACAGGGGGAGTGCGTTGTAGACAATGTCGTTGGAAGAGATCCCACACAGGCGCAAGACGCTGGACACGTGCAACAGCTTTCTGTGGTTGACAATGGCCGCCTTGGGTAACCCTATGAGGCAGGCAGAGAAAGGGAAGAGGAGCACTTAGCAACCTTGAGAGGCTTCCCTAAGCAAGAAACAGGAAGGTTCTTTCTTTTTCTACCCATGTGACAATTCCGGGGTGTCTACTGCAGTCCCTGGAGAGTTAAGAGCAGACACAACAGATCTGAGAAATTCTTTTCTGCTGTGCTGTGGATCAGCTTTCAGCCTAAACTGAAGGTGACAGAGAGCTAGAAACAGGTCATTTCCCATTAGGGTTGAGAATTCAGGGGCTAGAACAAGTGATTAAGCACCACGTCAACGTCTGATGACACTTCCTGTGCAAAACCAGAACTGACATCATCACATCAGGGTGGTGCTCCAAGAACAGGGGCGTAGCCAGAAACTTTTGGCTGGTGGGGCGTGGGGAAATCTGGGGGGGGGCACCCGGGCCGCACCTGCTGCTCCTCTTGCTGCAGCAGCAGCACAAGAAGAGATTGTGTTTCTACCCCGCCCTTTACTACCCAAAGGAGTCTCAGAGCAGCTTACAATCTCCTCTCCCTTGCCCTCCCCACAACAAACACCCTGTGAGGGAGGTGGGGCTGAGAGAGCCCTGAGAGAACTGCTGCTTGTGAGAGAACAGCTCTGAAGAAGAAGAAGCTCCGGCTCCACTGCAACCTCCAGTACTCCTCTAGTCCTTTCGATTGGAGAGACTTGATTCCGGGTTGCTTTTCTGTGTAAACTGGGGAAGGAGCGGGAGTCTCCGACTCCCTCTGTTTTGAATTTTGCAATTTTATTTTATTTTTTGCAATTTTATATTATTGCATTTTTAAAAACCTATTTACTTTTCGTCCTGGGGAAAAAGAAGGAAAATGAGACCGAAGCTTCCCTGACTGTTGTTGTTGTTGTTCAGTCGCACAGTCGAGTCCGACTCTTCGCGACCCCATGGACCAGATCACGGCAGGCCTTCCTGTCTTCCGCCGTCCTCTGAAGTTTGCTCAATTTAATATTCGCTGCATCTATGACACTGTCTAACCATCTCTGACTATGCCTGGGGTCATTTTGGAACATGCACACGTAACTTATTTAAATTTTTAAAACATATATATAGCTTTCTTGATTTTAAATTCCCCCCCCCTAAGGGGGTAGTGCTCATCTGTGGGGGGCATTGCCCCAAATGCCCCGTTCCCGGCTATGGGCCTGTCCAGGATTCACCCAAACTATGGCCAAATCCTAGAGTTTGGGATGAATCCTAGAGTACTGTGTTGATGTGATGATGTCACCTATGGTTTCATGCCAGAAGTGGTATCACATGTTGGTGTCATGCCAACTAATCCCCCCCATTTCCCCCTGCTGACCTGTCAAGTTGCAGCTGGGGAGAGGGGGTCCAGGGCAGGTGGTCTCCCCCCATAGAGGGTGTTGTGTCCTGGGAACAACCACCAGGCAGTGGCCAGGCGTGCAGAGCTTGATTCCTAAAGAACAATAGGGCTAGGCTCCTAAGGTCCAATAGGGGAACCAATAGAAACCTTGGCGGGAGATTCAAACCCCCCAATGGGATCCAGGGGAGTTCCCTTGGATATGTATATAGTTGGCCACTTGGCCGTTTGTCTTTTGTAGTGTGAAGTACTGAGTAAATGCGTGTTCCTTATGTCGTTGTCCGAGTCGTGATGTATCGAACTGAGTACTTTACAGAGGCCTCCCTATATCCCATTATTTTGGTTGAGAAATATGGTCTGAGAGGTTCTGTATTTGGAGCTGGTGGAAGCAGGCCTGATCTGGGTCCAGACCGTGATGCCTGGGGCATCTTAGCCCTCCCCCCGCACAGTTTTTCCAACCTGAAATGCCCAGGGGAACCACTATGGGCCCTATTGGGGGAAAGTTATATGTACCCATCAGCATCTGTGAGTTTTTCCAGTGGGGTAAACAGCAGCTGTCCAGGGTCATTTCAGGTCAAGTCAATGGCATGGGATGAGATTTAAGACTAAAGCTGCCAACCTCCAGGCGAGGGCTGGAGTTCTCCTGGAATTGCCACTAATCTCCAGGCTGCAGAAATCAGATCCCCTGGAGAAAATGGCTCCTTTGGAGGGTGGGCTCTCTGGCATTGTATCCCATTGAGGTTCCTCCCCTCCCCAGGCTCCATCCCCAAATCTCCAGGAATTTCCCTATATGCAGCGTTGGCAGTCTTGCTTACGAACTTGCATACCGTGATTCCAAGAAGAATCAGGCCTCTACATACCTGAGAATTAAGTTCTGATCAAAGAACTCCCAGAAGACGAGGACATCTGGGGGAGCTCGAGGACTTTGTAGTGTGTGCTTCAGCTGATGGCTTAAACACAGAGCTGTCCCCCATCAAAACAGCCCAGGGGAAAGGTAGGGAGAGAATCCCCCCCCCTTCTCCCTAGTATTAGAACATCCAATGAAGCTGATGGGCAGTAGATTCAGGATGGACATAAGGAAATACGTCTTTACACAGTGAGTGATTAAAGTGTAGAATTCATTGTCAGAGGATGTTGTGATGGCTACAGGCGTAGGGAGCTTTAAAGGGGGTTTAGACAGATTCATGGAGGAGAGGGCTATCAGTGGCTAGTAGCCATGGCAACTAAAGGGAACCTCCACATTCAGAGGCAGTCAAACTCAGAATCCCAGGGCCAGGAGACTACATTGGGAGAAGGCCTCAGCCTCTATGCCCTGTCATTGGATCTCCAGAGGGAACTGGTTGACCACTGTGTGAGACAGGATGCTGGACTAGATGGGCCACTGGTCTGATCCAGCAGGGCGAATCCTATGTTCTTGAGAGAGATGGTGAGAGATTTCCAGGCACCGAGTGTCCTTCAGTTCCTCCCCCCTCACTGCCCCCTCAAATTTCTTCCCCCTTACCTGTGGTTCCAGAGGTGAAAATATATATGGATACGGATTTGGGGGTGCAGTTCGCTCGGACAGAAAGGGGTATGGGCTCAGCAGAGCTAGATTTGATCTGTCCCAGCAAGGCTTCCACCCCCTCAGTGGGGGAATCGTCGCTCAGATAGAAAACCTGTACCCCTTCCTTCCTGAGGGTGGGCAGGATGTCCTCGATGGCCGCTTTGAAATCTTCAAAGGAGGAAAAGAGACAAGGTGTTTGATGGGACCATATTTTGTTATTTTTGTGAATCCATTTGGTACACTGAAAGGAAAACCCTACATTTTATGAACAGGAAAGATATGACCCCACCCTCGCCCCCTACGGTCTTCACGGGGCCATCTGCAGATACCTGGTCCACAGGTAGCCCATTTATCATCCACTAGGGCCTTCTTGGTGGCTGCCCCTGCCTTCTGGAACCAGTTCCCCAAAGAGATTCATGCCCTGCAGGATTCTATTAGGCTTTCACAGGGCACACAAGGCTGCCTTGTTTTATGCAGCATTAACCAAGGTCAAGGCTACCCCTGGTTTAGAATCCTTGCAGGAATTTTTCAAAAGCCACCTGATAAAAATCACTAGATAGCAATAAGCTTTAGCAAACAACAAGGAAAAACAAACAGTGAGAGTAGCAATAGAAACGGCAGTTAAACAATCGATGTAATTAAATTACATAGCCTGCTTTTGTAATTGATACAATGTTGATAGCAGGGGGGGGGAATTGGGTGCTGCAGGCTGAGCATGCACGACTGGCCAAAGGTCACCCAGCAAGCCGGCCATGGCAGGATGGAGATCTGAACTTTAGGTCACCCAGATCTTAGTCTGACAACCACTATACCACTAGGGTTGTCGGCCCTGGATTGGGAAATACCTGGAGGTTTGGGGGAGTGGAGCCTGAGGAGGGGGGGGGTTGGGGAGGGGAGGATCTTCAGTGGGGTACAGTGCCATACAGTCCCACCTTCCAAAGCAGCCATTTTCTCCAGGTGATCTGATCTCTGTTGCCTGGAGATCAGTTATAATCCCAGGAGATCTCCAGCCACCACCTGGAGGTTGGCAGCCCTAGAGAGATGGTAAACAGTGGGACCAACAAAAAACAAATATGCAATGCCTGAGGTGTCTAAGCAAAGTTCGAACTTACACCACAGGGCTCTACAGCCTATGGTTCCATAGCCAAATGTGGTTTCGTTTCAGAACCAAATATGATTTTTCAAAAGAAGAAAATTAAAATATATCCCCCGTGGGGGGAGGGATACTAGAATAGCCAGTCTACGGATGGCAAGGTTTTTGTGAGACTGAAGGGCTTCTACGAGCAGCTTTACCAAGAGGTGCACAGCTGCCAGGAATCCAAGCGCAAACTATGCACAGATTTATGACACTGCACTAAAACAGTCTGGTAAGGTGTTCCTGTGCATATTTATGACCTTTTTTGCAAGTGCGCCACTTCTTTATTAGGAAGGATTCGGACAAAACAGTGTCTGGGCAGAGGAAATTGTATGGATCCAGCTGTCTGCTGTCAATAATGTTAATAATGTAAAATGGTATATTTTCAGTGAAACAAATGGGCCTTTCTTATACTGGCTCTTTGTTGAACTAGTGCTTTGAATAGTTAACCTTGAGTCCAGGAGCCCCTTAGAGACTAACAAGCATTTCGAAAGCTTGCACCCTCAAACTCTGGTTGGTCTCTAAGATCCTACTGGACCCAAATCTAACTATTCTACTGCAGCCCAACACGGCTACCCTCTGAAACTGTGCTGTGAATGTTGATATAGTTTGGCTCTTTAAAGAATAAAGGTAGCAGACCTCTAATCTACAAAATAATCTAGTTTCACAAGATAAGCACTGTAGCCCTTCCCCTATTTTCGCCATCGACATTAACACACACTGCCAAACCCTGCAAAGCTAATGTAACACCTGCTTCTGTCTGAAGTATATAGATCAAACTGTAGGTGTGACAGGCATCAAAAGTGGGAATTCTGCAAACGTTAATTTAATCGACAGCTTTCCCCCAGCGTTCAAAACGCAGCTTTGACATCCCAGTGTCTCGTCATAAATTGGGAAAGATGCATCAGGGCTGCTCAGAGAAAAGAGGACTATATCAGAATTTCTCCAGGTTTCTTCAGCTACCGGTAGCAGAGACACGGCATTATTTTTCCATTTCGGATCTCCCACTTTGCACATCGTTCTCCTTACCTGGAGTTGTCAGTAGCACCTTGGATCCGCAGGAGCTGAGGGCGTGCAACAGAACCTTGGATCGGACGTTATAGTTGACACAGGCCATGGCACAGCCGATCTTCTCCAGGCCCAGCCAGACCCAGATGTAGGCAGGGCAGTTTTTCAGGAAAACAGCTGCCGTTTCCCCTTCTTTCAGCCCCACCTGGCCCTGGAAGACTCGGGCCGCCTGGCTGCTGAGCCTGTCGATGTCTTGGTAGGTATAGACCTCGTCTCCAAAGATAATTAGGGTCTTTGTGGGGTGTTTCTGGACTTTTAATAAAAACAGGTCCACAATGCTGAAGTTCAGCTGGCGCTGGAGACGCCTGTTACACTTGTATCCCAGATATACATTCTGGAAGAATATCTTCAGGTCCAGCCAAATGTAGGGGAAGAAAAGATTTCCCAAGAGGGGCAAGAGGACCAGAAGTCCCAGAAGAACTGTGTACAGGTCCAGCATGACTGATGATCTTACCTCAGGAGCACGACGCTGAGGGAACGTCCTCCGCTCAAGCTCTGTCAAATATTGTCGTGCTCTGCAGAAGGCAAGGATCAAAAATACAAGGAGGCAGAGTTCTCCCTCTCTCTCCCTTCCTCTCTGTCCCCGTAGGCCGATCTGAGGAAATCCTCCCCTCCTAGCAAACTTTAACCCCAGCTGCAGGGAACTGCTGAGGTCTCCCTTTTCCGTCCGCCTCCCTTGCGTCAGGCAGGAGCTTTTGTCTGCAGCAGAGAACACCACTTGCCAGCACAGGCATTTGGAGAGTACACCCTGGGAGGAGCTGTTTACATCTCAGAGGAGAAACGTTCACGGGTACAGTTTCCAGCAGCAGGTTTGGGAAAGCCGAACAATGAGTCGGCAAGGATGTCTCTGGCATGGGGACAACGGAGATGTTTGGGGAATAACCGAAGTAGCGTCGCTTGGGAAAGGAAGAAAGGAGTTACTTGACCAGGCAAAATCCAGAAGTGGACTGAGCCTTTAAATGACAGGGAGAGTTCCTGGAGGGCTGCTGGTGATTAGGAGGAAGAAGCAGAGCAGGGGCCTTTCAGCTTGGGCCAGGCAGGCCTCGATGTAGAAGAAGAGTTGGTTTTTATACCCCACTCTTCTCTACCTTAAGAAGTGTCAAAGCAGCTTACAACCGCCTTCCGTGCCCCTTCCCACAACAGACACCCTGTGAAGTAAAGAGTTCTGAGAGAACTGGGACTGATTCAAGGTCACCCAGCAGTAGAGTTGCCAGCCTCCAGGTGGGGCCTGGAGATCTCCCGCTTTTACAACTGAGCTCCAGCTGACAGAGAACAGCTCCCCTGGAGAAAATGGCTGCTTTGAAGGGTGGACTCTATGGCACTGTGCCATGCTGAGGTCCCTCCCCTCCTCAAACCCCGCCCTCTCCTGGATCTACCCCCAAAGTCCCCAGGTATTTTCCAACCCAGAGCTGGCAACCCTACCCAGCAGGCCTCATTTATCTCAAAGCAGCTTACAATCGCCTTCCTCTCCCCACAGCGGACACCCTGTGAGGCAGGTGGGGCTGAGAGAGTTCAGAGAGAACTGTGACTGGTCCGAGGCCAGTGCTAGGGATGCCCGTCTCCAGGTGGGACCTGAAGATCCCCTGGAATTACAGCTCCTCTGCAGACTACAGAGATCAGTTCCGCTGGAGAAAATGGATGCTCTGGAGGGTGGGCTCTATGGCATTGGACCCCACTGAGGTCCCTCTCTTCCCCAGGCTCCATCTCCAAATGTTTAGGAATTCCCCTACCTGAATCTGGCAACCCTAAAAGTTACCCAGCAGGCTTCATGTGGAGGAGTGGGGAATCAAACCTGGGAGGGACGCACATTCAGACCTACAAAATCGCTGTTACCAGAATAGGTTGTGGTGGTGATATGGCTATACCCAGGGCTATTTTGGGGCAGGAACGCACAGGAACGGAGTTCCGGCTGGCTCCCAAGTTGGCCACACCCAGCAGGAACGTATTAGCATAATAGGCCACACCCAACAGCAGAAACTCATTAGGATTGGCTACAATTAGGGATGTGTGGCCTAACATGCAAAAAGCCCTGGGTTTTGACAACAAACAAGGTAAAGAGAATAAGAAGCAAAAGGTGGGTGTGGCAACCACACTTTTGGTAACATGGGGGTGTGGCCTAATATGCTAATGAGCTGTGCTGTCAGGGGTGTGGCCTAATATGCTAATGAGTTCCTGCTGGGCTTTTTCTACAAAAAAAGCCCTGGGTATACCTATGGCCCATCACTAATACCAGGAGTCCAATTATAAGTAGACAAGGAAACAACATCTGGTGTAATTATATGTGTACTAGAATTCTGTAACAGGTCTTTGAATGTGTGTCTAGAATATATAGATAATAGTGACCACTAAGGAAGGCCCTTAGGGGCCGAAACGCGTTTGGTCTTCAGTTGGAAAGTTTTTACCCATCATTTGTATGTATAGTGGACAAGCTTTTACAGTCTGATCTTAGACAAAGCAATTTTTAATCAGGAAAGTTTTAATACGTGTACACCTGAATAAATATTTGTACTTTTTTATATATATATATATGGTTTAGCTTAGCCCTATTTGGTTCATAGTCATATCCTGGGTTGAGTTCCCCCCCCCTTTTTTCCCAGTTTTTCTCCAGACTACAGCCTACTGCTCTTGACCACTACACCATGCTGATAACAAAGGGGTTTGCCCGACTCCTTTTGCCTTGCCAGCCCCATAAGGGCTATGTAGCTTCTTTGCTCCAGGACTGTTTTAACATCCCAATCCTCCCCCCTGCCCGCATCTTGAACCACAGGGGAAGGATGTTTGCTGCAACTAGCAAGAACAAGTCATGTGTTTATCTTGGCTGTGCCTGGATTACAAACTCATGTTATTGAAACCCCTGGCATCAGCTGAGTGAGAGCCAATGCACACATTACAAAGTCCACAATCTGTCCACCGCAGATCCTGTTGATCAGATGCTCTTGGAGTTTAATTCCTGGTTTAATTCCTAGGCACAAGTGGGCCTGTTTCACATCAGAACCACAGTGACTGGAGGCTCAAGGATCCCTTGCCCTCCACACGGACACAACATTTTTCTGACCTGAAATGGCCCCAGAGACCCTGTGTGGTGTAGCGTTTAGAGTATGGACCAGGATATGGCAGATGCAGGTTCAAATTCCTGCTTGGTCATAGAAACTCACTGGGTGACCTTGGGCCAGTTACTCTCTCTCAGCCTAACCTACCTCACAGGGTTGTTGTGAGGATAAAACAGAGGAGCATGATGCTTTGGGCCCCATCGGGGAGAAACGTGGGATACAAATGAAGTCCTTAAATATAATGACTTGGAGATAATCCATATTGCTCAAGCTTCCTTAGACTAACAGATCACACAAGAACAGAATCATAATCAGTTGCTTATTGAATCCCTTTGCGTAATGCATTGAGAAAGTTCTGTCTTCTTCAGAAATCTGTGGCAAGTATTTATTCCATTTGACATATGAATGAATTGGTTTTACAGCTGCAGGCTTTAGAGCCCAACCTTAACTCTTGGCAAAAGTCAGTCGCAAGGATTTTGGGGTGATTTGTTTCCAGTTAAGCGCACTTGGAATGACATCATTAACCAGCAAATGAATCTGATGAAACTTCTAGTGTACATAGATTCCAAGGAAGTCTCCTGTCCAGCCACTGACTGACTCCAGACCTGATTAGCTTCAGTGAGGTCAGTGCTACCACAGCAGGGGCCACGGCTTAGTGGAAGAGCATCCACTAGGAATGCAGAAGGTCTCAGGTTCAATCCCTGGCATCTCCAGTTAAGAAGATCAGTGACAGACCTCTAGCCGAGACCTTGGAGAGCTGCTGCCAGGCGGAGTAGGCAGAACTGACCTTGGGCAACCACACAGGGTGACAGAAGTTCCATAAATGGAGCATCCAGCATTTCCCCCTAATATCAAGTGTGTAGACGCAAGGTTCTTATCACAAGCATGGCACAAGAGAAGAAGAGGAGTTTAAGTTGTCTCCTTTGCAATGTTTTCCTGATCTGAAAATCATAGAATCTTAGCATCATAACATCATAGAGTTGGAAAGGGCCATACAGGCCACCTAGTCCGCCCATCCATCCATCCATCCATCCATCCATCCATCATCTAATGGATTTTAACCACCCTCCCCAACCAAAGCAGGGCTCAGGGCCGTTTACAACATAATAATTCATAATACAGGATTAAAATTTAAATACCAATAAAACACAATAACTGGACTAAAAAGGTGTTTAAAATTTCAACGGTGCCAGCCACTGCCTCATGGGGGGCAGGGGGAGCAGGGGGGAGTACCAGAAGGCTGCATCCATCACTGTCCTCAATCAAATGTCTGGCGGAACATCTCTGCCTTACAGGCCCTGTTAGAACTGTAACAAGTCTCGCAGGGCATGGATGTTATTTGGCAGAGAGTTCCACCAGGTTGGATCCAGGGTGGAAAATGCCCTGGCTCTGGTCGAGGGCAGCTGGACATCCCTCAGGCCAGGGACCACCGATAGATTCTGATCTACTGGGCACAACACTCTTCTGGGGGTATACTGGGAGTCCGTCATAAAATCAAAGGTAATATTGATGGAAGAGACACACATCCAGACACATTGTTACTAAAGCCATATAGGGTGGAGCTGTGGAGAAGGAGAAACTTGGCCCGTGGCAGCACATTCAAGGCACTAATTTCACACTGCCGGTTTTTATGTAAACGTTCCCTGTGAGTCTTTTCAGGCTGTTCAGTTTGCATCAATTTCCCCATTTTTTGGTGCTGTTGCAATGGAATGCTCTAATGAACATAGTCCATCTGTGCATGCACTTACCACCCCAGAGTCCAGCTCTTAATTTCTGTCCTGTGATTGGTTAGCTGCTTTCCCATGTTTGACTGACTGCTCTCATTGGCTATGCACTTTTTTGCAGTAATCTATAATTGGCTAAACATGTTTTAAGTAAGGGGGGCTGGATCAAAGGAATAAAATAATGCTATTTTCTTATCTGAGTATATCCAGAGATTTTAGCGAGTGTTCCTCCTCCTATCAGGGCAATTAAGGGCTTGGAAACTATTTGTCTGCTTAATCTCAGCATGTCCGTTTCTTGCTAAAGGCACATAAAATACTCTCAACTAGCAAAGCCCAGCCTCCTGTTATTATTATTATTTTTTGAAAATAAATTTATTTTATTTGAAAAGAATTAGTTTACAAAGATACTCAAAGATACATAGAATACAAAGTATACATAAAACAATCAATAAGGTAATTTAAACTTCTGAAGTATTCGATGGGGTGCCTTTGGTGCCAGCGTCAGAGATTAGGAGTCTGGAAGTGCTCCTGGACTCCTCTCTAACGATGGAGGCCCAGGTGGCAGCCACTGCCAGGTTCGCCTTTTACCATCTGAAAAGTATGCAGACGGAGAGTGATTCCAGCTAAGCATACCTTTATTTAGTTCAGGACAAAGACAAGTGACCGGCTCGCAGGCCGGTTTATATATGTTCAGAAAACC